AAAACAAAAAAACCCTCCAGGATATTAATTGTATTAATACTATCATGTCTGGTTGGTCCTAATTATGGAGCATCAAAACATCTGAGGTGAGAAACTGTACTTCCCTTAAGATAGAAGTAGGCAGCCTTCTGCCCTTCAGAGTTTTGAGCAACAGCTACCATCAGCTCGATCCAGCATAGCCAACAGTCAGGGTTTATCAGAACTGTAATCCAAAGCATCTGGAGGCACTGGGTTGCCTACTCTAAACTTGAAAGTTATATGTGGGCTGAACAAAAGAATGAAATCTCATTAACAATAGGTAGATTCTGTTGCATACTGGTGGGGTCTGATTGGTCATGTTTGATTATTATTTTTATTTGAAAATGCAAATTTGTTTTGAAACCAAACCTGTCTTTCTTGCCTACATTTCAGTCAGAACTAAGACATGGTCCGTTTTACTATATGAAGCAGCCACTCACCACAGACCCTGTTGATGTTGTACCGCAGGATGGACGGAATGATTTCTATTGCTGGGTTTGTCATCGGGAAGGCCAAGTCCTCTGCTGTGAACTCTGCCCTCGGGTTTATCATGCTAAGTGTCTGAAACTGACAGCGGAGCCAGAGGGGGATTGGTTTTGCCCAGAATGTGAGGTTAGTCTGATGTGGGGTGCATACTTGTCTCATCATCATTAGTTACTCATCTTTCAGAACATTGTTACCTTACCATCCATTTGGATTGCCTAGACACTTCTTGGAAAAGTAGAAAAGAGATTTTTTTTTTTTTTTGGTGCTAGTATCTACCCTTTCTTCCCTCCCTCCCTCCCTCCTTATCATCTTCATTCCCTGTATTTTGTCAAATACAACTTGGAGGATGAGAGCCAAAAGAGTTTGTGACTGTTTGGCCCTATATGCATTTTGTCTATCTGTGATAAATGCAGTTTTCTTTATACTACTTGGATACACATTTGAATAACTGCAAGCAAGGACATTTTAGGATTCCTTTCCCTTTCATTGCCCAGATGGGAAAAATTGGTCCCCCTCCCATTGTTTTCTCTATTAATGCTGTGTGGACAATGTAGAAAGGAACTTCTAAATTACTGTTGGAAAATGGAAATGTGATTTTGTGAATTGCCTTTATGAGGTTATTAAGCATTGAAAATGTTGGCAGAATGCAATGGAAGAGAGATACCAGTAAGCATTTTAGGTATGTTGGCCTCACACACAGTCTAGTGGCTGCCCCAAGCATCCTTAAAAAAGGTACAATCTTTCCATTTAAATTGAAAGAGCATAATTATAGTTCTCCACATTTCTAAGCATTTTCAGTTTTATTGACTTAGAAAATTTAACATGCCTCAATAAGCTATCCATTACTATGGATGTGATACTATTCAGCTGATGTTCTGTTCCCCTGTGCTACGCACACCAATTACCTGTTTCTGTTTTACCCATTTACCTATTCTTTTTTTCACGAGCTTCTTTTGTGTCTTGCGCTCCGTGAACATGATTCAGAAAATAAACCAGTTTTGGTCAACAGCCAGAAACACTGGTTTGGACCGTTGGCCTACTCTTAAGTATGATTAAGTCTTACTTAGCACACTTCCATGAATATTGGACAGGCATTGAATCTATTATATCACTGAATGCAAAACAATGTCATTATTTGTGTTTGCATGTCATAGTAATCCGCATGTTCCATAATAAATAAAGGACATGGGGGTACTGACCTGTACACTTTTATAAATTTTCAGCATTTTTAATCTTTGTTTTTAGAAAATTACCGTAGCTGAATGCATAGAAACACAGAGTAAAGCTATGACAATGCTCACTATTGAACAGCTATCCTACTTGCTCAAGTTTGCACTACAGAAAATGAAACAGCCAGGGGTAAGAATAATGTGTTAATATTTGATTCCTTTCCATATTTTTGTTTGTGAATAATTCAGTCTTCACATAGATATAGATATATATAGATATAGATAGATAAAGCACCCTAATATCCTCTCACCTTTTATCAAAGATAAGTGAACTTCAGGCCCTTCAAATCTACTGCATGTGTTGTGTGTGTGTGTGTGTGTGTGTGTGTGTGGTTTTAATTAACATTTCAAGATTAACCATACAGAGTTGGATAGAAAAGACATACACTTAGAATGAAAGAACAGTGTACATTGGAACTCTTTCTAGCCTAGGGATTTATTTTCAGTGCCAGAGATGAACAAACTCACAGTTCTTTCACAAACAAGTCTGCTCCTAGTTACTCTAAGGATTCCTTGTTTCAGCAACCTATTTTAGATGGAAAATTATGATGTTGGTATTGTGAAAGAAGTGTGAATTGGAAGCCTCTGTCAGTCTGCAATTCCCTCAGAGATCGCATATCATCTGTCATCCCAGCCCTATGTAGTGTACAGTGGAACAACATTGTTCCTCACCTCCACTGCTGCCAAAAAAGAGAAATGAAATCAAGCTGCCTGTACCATGAACAGGGAAGGAATGTACCATACAGAAATGAAGTACTACCTATACTTTACCAGATATGTTTGTTTATAAGACTTTGGCTATTGCCCATGTTTCAGGAATAGGACATGATGCTACTTTTCCTCTAAATTTATTTCAAAAAGTTGCTTTAAAACTTGACTTACTGGAGAATAAGATGCTTATGTTTCCTGTCTCAGTTATACTTCAAAACAGCTCCTTGATTGTATTTCTCTCCCTTCCCGTTCTGTCTCTATGTTGACCTGAAATGCTGCAAACAAGTGTTAACAATTCAGATATTTGCCATTAATGGAATAATATAGTTATGATTTGGAAGTTCATGAATGCATGGACCTCTCACTGTAGAAGTCAAATCTGGGACTTTCTTTTAGATTTTCAGCAATGGGAAAAGTTCCAGTTCTGCTTTACTGAATTGTAATCAAAAAGTCGTAAAGATGAAGGTTTGACACAGATGTCAAATCATGGCACTTAAAAATCCTATACAGTAAAGTATTGACATGTTATATATACAGTATATCACATAATTGAGTACACCCCTCACATTTTGTAAATATTTTATTATATCTTTTCATGTGACAACCCTGAAGAAATGACACTTTGCTACAATGTAAAGTAGTGAGTATACAGCTTGTATAACAGTGTAAATTTGCTGTCCCCTCAAAATAACTCAACACACAGCTATTAATGTCTAAACCTCTGGCAACAAAAGTGAGTACACCCCTAAGTGAAACTGTCCAAATTGAGCCCAAAGTGTTAATATTTTGTGTGGCCACCATTATTTTCCAGCACTGCCTTAACCCTCTTGGGCATGGAGTTCACCAGAGCTTCACAGGTTGCCACTGGAGTCCTCTTCCAGTCCTCCGTGACAACATCACGGAGCTGGTGGATGTTAGAATCTTGCATTCCTTCACCTTCCATTTCAGGATGCCCCACAGATGCTTGATAGGGTTTAGGTCTGGAGACATGCTTGGCCAGTCCATCACCTTTACCCTCAGCTTCTTTAGCAAGGCAGTGGTCGTCCTGGAGGTGTGTTTGGGATCGTTATCATGTTGGAATACTGCCCTGCAGCCCAGTCTCCGAAGGGAGGGGATCATGCTCTGTTTCAATATGTCACAGTACATGTTGGCATTCATGGTTCCCTCAATGAAACTTAGCTCCCCAGTGCCGGCAGCACTCATGCAGCCCGACCATGACACTCCTACCACCATGCTTGACTGTAGGCAAGACACAGTCAAGACACAGAGTTTTTGTACTCCTCACCTGGTTGTCGCCACACAGGCTTGACACCATCTGAACCAAATAAGTTTATCTTGGTCTCATCAGACCACAGGACATGGTTCCACTAATCCATGTCCTTAGTCTGCTTGTCTTCAGCAAACTGTTTGCGGGCTTTCTTGTGCATCATCTTTAGAAGAGGCTTCCTTTTGGGACGACAGCCCTGCAGACCAATTTGATGCAGTGTGTGGCATATGGTCTGAGCACTGACAGGCTGACCCAACCCCTTCAACCTCTGTAGCAATGCTGGCAGCACTCATATGTCTATTTCCCAAAGCCAACCTCTGGATATGAGCACATGTACTCAACTTCTTTGGTCGACCATGGCGAGGCCTGTTCTGAGTGGAAGCTGTCCTGTTAAACCGCTGCATGGTCTTGGCCACTGTGCTGCAGCTCAGTTTCAGGGTCTTGGCAATCTTCTTACAGCCTAGGCTATCTTTATGTAGAGCAACACTTCTTTTTTTCAGAACCTCAGAGAGTTCTTTGCCATGAGGTGCCATGTTGAACTTCCAGTGACCAGTATGAGAGAGTGAGAGTGATAACACCAAATTTAACACACCTGCTCTCCATTCACACCCGAGACCTTGTAACACTAACGAGTCACATGACACCGGGGAGGGAAAATGGCTAATAATGCCCAATTTGGACAGTTTCACTTAGGGGTGTACCCACTTTTGTTGCCAGTGGTTTAGACATTAATGGCTGTGTGTTGAGTTATTTTGAGGGGACAGCAAATTTACACTGTTATACAAGCTGTATACTCACTACTTTACATTGTAGCAAAGTGTCATTTCTTCAGGGTTGTCACATGAAAAGATATAATAAAATATTTACAAAATGTGAGGGGTGTACTCACTTCTGTGGTATACTGTATCTTCACCAGTAGTGTTAGAACATAAGGAAAAGAAATATCCCTGTGAGAAAATAGGAAAAAATAAAGAGAGCAAGAGCACAATCAATATAACTTCCTGTTTGTTTTTTGTTTGTTTATCATTCCATGTTTCATACCTATTTCAGAGATAGGCAATGCATTATCCAATATTTATTATTACTATTTCAAAGCCTTGAAAAATTCTCTCTCTCCCTCTCCCTCTCCCTCTCCCTCTCCCTCTCCCTCTCCCTCTCTCTCTGTTTTCTTATAACTTGGAATTGAATTGGATTTAATTGGTATTATTACCATTTGACATACACAAAATACTCAAAATGTGAATGTGAAAAATATTTTGATTGTGGAACAAAAGCAAACTTGCAATTGTTGGTTGCGTTAGTATTTATCCGTTTGGTGTGACATTCCTAAATAAGCTTTGTTGCCTCTAAAAGTCAGTGTAATTATTTGAATGGTATCCACCTCTATGCAGTTCCAGTGCTACTTGATCTCAGATTAAATACATTTGTTTTTGATAGGCCTCAGATTTTGTTGAAGAGCACATCTGAACAAGCAGCATCGTGAAGACCTAAGAGCTAGCAAAACAATTCTGGGATAATCTTGTATAGAACTAAGCTCTAATCAGGATAGGGTTATTAAAAAAAAGTATTAGGAGGGTATCAGGAAGCACCCAAAAGGCTAGGATAACTCTGAAGGAACTGAAAAGATTGGCAGCTGAGATGAGAGAAATTGTCCATGGAACAACTATCACTTGGATGTTCCACAAAAGTAGGCTTTTGGAAGACTGGTTAGAAGAAAGCTATTGCTGGAACAAACCTGTATCAAAGCCTATTTGAATTTAGCTAAGAAGCACATTGTACAAACCGCAGTCAAGACCCATGAGAACCAAACTGAATCTTTGGCTTCAGTGCAGCACAGTATCAGTGGCACAAACCCAACCCTAAGAACACCGATCCCACAGTGAAACATGGTGGCGATAGCAGCATGTTGTGGAAGTGCTTATCTTTGGCAGAGACTGAGATACTGGCTAGGATCAAGGGCCAGATAGTGTCAAATAAGGGGCATTTCTAGAGGAAAAACCTGTTTCAGTTTTCAAGGGAACTGGAACTGGAACAGAGATTCACCTTCCAATAGGACTGTAATCCTAAATATACAGCCAAAGTAACAGTGGAGTGGTTTATACCAAGAACCTGCTTGTCTAGTATGGCTCAGTCAAAGCCCAGACCTCAATCTGATTTATTTTTTGTACCACCCAAAACCAGATGATTTCTGGGCAGTGAACAACAGTCAAAATTCTGTGACAGGACTGGAAAATCACTCTGCACTGATAGTCCCCAGCAAATCTGACAAAGCTGGAACACTTTTGCCAAAAAGAAACACTGCAGGTTCCAGATGTGCAGAACTGATAGAGATCTATCCCCAAAAGATTCAAAGCTGTAATTGATGCCAGAGGTGCTTTTTACAGTATTGACCCAGGGGATTGAATTAGTATGCACCTAGGTTTTTTTTTTAAACTTTTGGTCTACAGCAAAAATATTTTGCATCTGCATCATACTGAATACCCTGTTTACATCAAGTGGAAACGAAGTCAGTTAAATCCATTTCAATTCCGGGATGCAACATAATGAAATGAGGTAAAGTCAAAAGGAACACTTCTTTAAGGCACTGTATTTCTATATCTCTTTAGCTTCTAAAAGAACTGCCTCACTAAGGTTTTTTCTAACTTGATGGAATGTTTATCTGGGGAATAACTAGGTGTGAATGATTTATGTCTGTTAAATCCACATAATGCAATACATTTTGGTTATAATTCTGTATCCAGGGGGATGTATCTGCTAATGTAAATTATGTTGCACTAGCTTTAACTACTATGGTGCAATGCCAAAAGTGTTAGCTAGTGTGCAGATGTCTAGGATTCCACCAGAATAGTTTAAGCTAGCCCAAGGTAATTTTTGTTAATGGTTCCACACCACTGAATATTCCTTAAAGTGTTGCATTAATGTTTATGTGAGCATAAATTTGAGATTGTGAATGTTTTCACAATTATATTTTTCACAGTTGGCCATGGGATTCATACACAAATCAGAAATAAGAAAATTTGAAGGTGTTAAAATTTTGGCAACATGGTAACCCTCTTCTTTGGGGCTTTCACTTCGTTAAAGAAACCTTAAGTAAATTAAGCTTATGAATTTTAGTCAGTCAATGAGCTGCACACATTTCCATAACTAAAAGTAATATCTGTTAAAACTGCTGATTGTTTATATATATCATATATTGCATATGTACCATTTTGAAGGGGATATTCCTATTTTACAGGAGGTAATACTTCTTTTAGGTTGTCCTTGCCACCTGCAGTTTTTAGAAGAGTCTGTCCCCACCCCCCATATGTGTGTACATAATCTTTCTGGTTAATTGGAGTACCCTTTTAGTTAATCAAAATATTTTAAACAATCTAACATTGCAAAGTTAGTTTCTATGTTTTTTTATTAAACAGACAGAGCCATTTCAAAAGCCAGTTTCATTGGATCAGCATCCAGATTATGCAGAATACATCTTTCATCCAATGGATCTTTGTACATTAGAAAAGGTTGGTATACAGCAAGCAGACAAATCCTAGTTACATTCCATTGTTGTTACTGTGTTTATAACTGTATATACTATCTCTTTCTAAAATCAGTACAGTTCTTCATTTATATGTTGAATAAGTTTCAACATCTTGGAATCCATTACGTGTTCTAGGTATATTGTACTTAAATGCCCATTTGTGTGAATTTGGAATAGCCTCAGTGTAGCACGATTTAGAGTGGGAATTTGTACTGGGAATTTGGCCATGTGCGTACTTACAATAAATGTTTCTTTTAGAATGAAGTATTCCTGATTTTACTTATTTATAGAATGAGGAAGATAAACATTCACAAGATTTTAAAAGATGCATTTTGTTCTATGTTAAATTAATATTGCCTTCTCTGGAGATGCAATTGGAAACCTTTTGTATCAAGGTACTACTATCATTTTTAACAGATTGTATAACCTATAATCTGGGGTACTTCTTAGGTTACAATAGCTCATAGGTTAAACCATCCATGGTCCCATGAGGATCAGCAGGCACAGTCTAGAACAGGGGTCTCAAACTCTCGGCCCGTGGGCCAATTGCCGGGACAGCGGGGTATGGGGGAGGGGCCCTGCAGCCTTCAAAGCGCCAGCGGCGCCCAGGCCGGCCATGGGATGAGTGGCCCACCACCACCGTGGTGGTGGAATACTTGATGCGGCCCAGCCTCACCCAGACTCTACTTCCAGTGGCCCCCAGGTAAGTTGAGTTTGAGACCCCTGGTCTAGAACATGCCATTCACTTGCACTTTTAATCAAGCTACAGTTGGCTCATCGATCAATTGTTGAACATGATGTGCAAACCCAAGCCAGTTTATTGTTTGCAGGTAAACCATGGCCGTGGTCTGTGTGAGCTTGCACATTATACTCTACAACCTCTGAACAAGCCAATCATAAGTTGTGGGTAAAAGTGGAAGTGGTAGAAATGTGAGAGGGAGTACACTTACTCTCTTCCACTTGAGTGAATAATTCGTGGTTTGTTTAAACCATACAGTGTTGTATATGCAGAGTAGTAGTCTATTTTACCCTTGTATCCTGTTGCTAAGAAACTCAAAAATGAAGTTGAATTGATATGAGGGGATATGACAGATTCAGGAAACTGCAGAAGGAAAGCATCACTGAGGTGGACAGGCAGCTTATTACCCTTCCTAAATAACTGCATTACATTGTTTTATTTTTCACACATTTGTATCTATGGCTTTAAAATTATATACACATTTTAAATGCTAACATTTAAAATGGAATTATATTCAATCAATTTTTGTCTCATACATTGTGGTACTCTGCTTTCTGTGTATATCTTTCACTTTTAGTATGTGAAGCAGAATTGACATTGATGATACTTATTTTAAGAATCCTGTAATTTTTCAAATCTCCTTAAATTGTGTTTCATAAATGGCGATATTCAAATGAAATTAGTGTCCAAAATAGTGTGTGCTTGAGTGTATACCTAAGAGTTTATTTCATTTGAAAGAGCTAAAACATTCAATAGTGCACTCGCTTGTGATAACATCCAGTTATACCCAGCTTTTTTCTCTTCAGTCATGTACATAGAATAATGTACTACATTACTTTGTAGTACTGTGAATGTACTACATTAGTTCTAAAAAATTATAAAGTGGCAAACTCCTGGATTTAGACATTGTTCCTTTTGTAATATTTTTATACTCTTTTTTTCCAGAATGTTAAAAAGAGGATGTATGGTTGCACTGAAGCTTTTTTGGCTGATGCCAAATGGATTTTGCACAATTGCATTATTTACAATGGGGGTAAGTATGTGTCTATTTCCTCAAAGACAGCACATTTGTCTTTCTTTACACAGTAGACTGAGACTGGATTATAGTAATGGCAGGCTGTTCACCATAACATCAAAAGGATTTGGAATCTGAGAACGAGGAAGGGGATGATTTTGCCTGTTTCTCTTCCCTACTGTGTCCCTTTCCCAGCACCTTCCATGCTGCTGCAGAGTTTGACAACTATCTGGAGCAAATTTGGGAGGAGGAAACAAGAGGCTGGTCGGTGGAAGGGAATTCCCTACCCACCATAATCTCTTAATTCTGCTGACAGAAACCTCTACTGGATCACAGAGAGGTTTGTTAGTAATTAATGGTTTTGTAAATCTATATTGGATGATTTTTACACAGAGATGAAAAAAAAATCCTGCTCTTCCCATTTAAAGGATTTCCTAAACAATATTGGAACAGAGTTTTCAATTTAAATTCTGTAAATATTTTAACACAATTTTTAATTTAAATTCTGTAAAAGAGGTTATGAAAATAAGCCAAATGTTCAGGAACTTCATAGTGGAATCAGCTATACCAAATGTTTTTTTAAAATGTAATGAAGTTTAGTCCTCCTGTACAACTTTAAAACTAGGTCTGACTTAAGTGGTGGTCTTCAAAGTTGGTTGGCTTCATAAGAAGGTAGGTTGAAAATGTGTATTGAAACGTCTAGTGTGAGAATATTGATAGATAACACAAATGCCATCTGATCATTATTATTTAAATAAGGATTATTTGAAAAGTTCTATGGCCAGGTTATGCCTGAGTTCAGGAATGGATGAAAGCCTTGTTTTTTATGCATCTCTGTACTGGCAATGGTCAAAATACCCATTTAAATAATGTTCCTTTTTAAAACATTGTGAATTCCGAACAATAGAAATTTTTAGTTTTGGGTTAAAATACACATAGCACAGGTTTAATACAACAGATGTTTGATTATACATCTATACTTATTTGTTTCCTCAGGAAATCACAAATTGACACAAACAGCAAAAGTCATAATCAAAATCTGTGAGCATGAGGTATGTATTACCTAGTTAGTTTTTGTTATTATATCCATTAAAATGTAAGTGAAATTTTCATAGAATCATGGTTGAAAGTAACTGTATAATAGAGGACAATGACTGGTAATCCAAACATGATAATCCAAACTCAGGAAAGTTATATATGGATTGAGTGTGGGTTGTCATTGGTTTGTGGGCTATTTTTGTTGTTTAAATACTACAGTGAAGAAAAACATAGTTTGCTAACAACGAAAGAGTTCAACAAAAAATCATGGGTACTTTTCTCTTTAATCCTTGAGAGTGGGTTATTGTGTTACCTGAGCCTCAGTCATTGACATCGGTCAATAAAATGCATTGGAACTTCATCCTTTCCTGCATTAAAGCATCTGCTGTTGAGAGATGTAGGCTGCAATTGTATACTCACTCATTTGAGAATAATTCCACTGAACTCAGAGAAGCTTTCATCTGAATAAAATTATACAGGATTTCAATGCTTGTCAAACATATAGGTGAGATTGTTTTTATTAGGAAATTGGCTTCCCATTTAACCCATTATTTTTTCCTTTTTCATTTCCACCTGCTTTAGATATAAGCAAAATTTATTGTATTCATCTACTTATTATACTCAAAATATCCACATTATATTAAATAGCCTGTGCACTTGGGAAGCAATAAGAATTAGTTGTGCTTTCATTCCTGAGTGAACAGACCCAGAAAATCTATAATTCTTTACAATAGAAAATTATGAATGGCTGCCCATATTACTCCCAATTACTGGATAGCACAGAATAATGAATTCATTTAATCGCACACTGAAAATCCTGCATTAGCCAGTCTTTTTCCTTACAGATGAATGAAATTGAAGTATGTCCAGAATGTTATTTAGCTGCTTGCCAAAAACGGGAGAATTGGTTTTGTGAGCCTTGTGTAAGTAAAACAATATTTTGAAAAATAGTGTGCATGTCCAAATTCATGCTGGTTTGTTCTTATGCTTAATACTTAACATCTGTGTACATTTCCTGATTGACATGGAGAAATCTACTAAAATTTATAGACAAAGCCTGCATCCTGTACCACATTTGATGCTGAACTGCAACAGCTGAATTGCTTTATCTGTTCATTTGTGCATGGTTTTATTGAAGAACCTGGCAGAATACATGGAAACAGTAGTATTTGGGTTTGCATGTATTTGGTTATAATTTTATGTGAACATGTAGAACTGAGTGTCAGATATAATGTTTGCTGTGTGTGTGTGTGCATCAGCAGGCTAGGCAAGCCTTCATAAAGATATGATTTTACATAATAATCTGGTTTGCATGCCATGTTAGCAGGTTTTGGATTGTTTAACACGAATTGCTAGGGATAATCAGAACATGCAAGCCATTTCTGTTCTTAATATGCAGAATGCACATTTCTGGTGGTTTTGTGATACAGGGTTAAAACAATCCAGAGGTATAATACACAGGACAAATCCAGTTCAATCTCAAATCTGCCAATCTCTCTAAGGACTTTGACAGAATGTGCCTCTCACTCTAACCTGTCCAATACCCATAGCTGCAGTATTAGAATAACACTGTAGGCCAGCCTGACAGGGATGTTTTATTGCTGTCTGCTCTGCTTGGAATTTGTTTTTACAAATGCAAGTTAGGAAACACTTTATCCGCACATGAAGGCTTGGATAATTTATCTATTTTTCATGTGGGATCGCATTTGAGTCATAGCTGGGGAAGATTTCTACTCCTTATAGATGTCTCATATTTTGAGGCATGATATAAGACTTTACAATTCTCATTTTGGAATTTGGCTCCTTCTATGTTTTGAGTACAAGATACAGAAATGGATACATGTGAAAAAAAGCAGCACTGGTTTTAAATTGCCAGCTAGTGCAGACTACTCCTAGTTTATTTTTGACATGGTTTTACATAGCTGAGGGCACATTGCACTGTAGAACCTGATTTGATCTCTGTTGCCTTTGGGGCTAGTTATGACCCAAAAATTACAAATGACTCGGGTACAGCCTGCCTGAGAAACTTCGTCTGCCCCATTGTAAACTTTGTACGTTTAACAGAGACCATCCTCTTAAGTTTTCTGTATGTGCAGTTAGGACAGGAGAGAGACATATAGAGTCATTCTCTGGGGCTTTCCCTCAGTTATGTAATGCATATGGTTTCCTAGAGAGTCAGAAAAATTTCAAACTTTTTGGGAAGTGTTCTAGAACTTTAAATTTGGTGGTGTTTTAATGCCACAGAGAGAGTGGTTTGAAGATGGACTTTTAATGTCAATGAATTTTGATCTTACTGAAATTGGTTAGTTGGGTAAACAATTAAATTCATTTTATGTTTGATAAACTATTAGGTTTGGACATTCAGAATAGGCTGAATAATAATATCTAAATGATTGCTCCTAATTTTAAAAGGAATGGACTTCCTCTTGAACAGTGTCTTCCTACTTTTAAAAGTAGCTCCACTGTAAACAGGATTGAAATTTTAAGAGAAGACAGGCATTTTCTTCATATAGTTAATTCAGAATAGTGAGCACTTTACACATGATGAAGAAAATGCAAAACTACACCATTGCATGGACAGAGGATGCCTTATCTGTGTGTAAGAGGGTATATTGCAATTTCTGGGTAGTATTACATTCCATACCACAAACTCCAGTATTATCTTGCTTTCCAGTGAAAGTCACTGAATGGTCCCTATGTACTTTCCTCTAGAGCAATCCACACCCATTGGTCTGGGCTAAACTCAAGGGTTTCCCATTCTGGCCTGCTAAAGCACTGAGGGATAAAGACGGTCAAGTTGATGCTCGTTTCTTTGGTCAACATGACAGGTGGGAGTTCAGTCAAATGGTGGTTGAATGGTTCAGTGATCCATTTTTGATATATTATTCTAGGGTGATTGCTGTTATATTAGTTCTATTAGTTCCCCATTTTGGTTCATGTCATGTTGGCAATGTTAATTCATTAAACATTTTTGGAATATATAATTAACTAGCATCTTCCTTTTGTATTCACAAAATTTAAAGTCTGTTTCATCATTCCAATTAAATTTAATCTCTGGGTCATTGTGAAGTTTTCAAAATAGTTTGATGCCTAGTGTTTGCTTTGGTTTTGGTAACTATCATGAGATCACACTATGCATTTTTATATAGACTACATGTGATCCTTTTGTGTTAATTTTTATAAATGTAAACCCTTCAGAGCTTTGTAATGCTGTCAATTAAAGGGACATGGATGACCAACTTTGTGAGATATAAATGAAAGAAAGAAAGGAGTTAGGGTCCCATACAATCTTGCACAGAATTTGCAGGGGCACAAGACAAACCCCTTTTCTCTACCAAAATAGTATTTATGATAGTGGAATAGATCCCGAACCTGACCATACTGTTACTTTGGGGTGGGGATGGGGAGTTTCAGGGCTAGCTCTGTAGCATTCGTCAAATCTTAGTAATAGATTATACAAACAGCATGAGAGCTAAGGGTTTTACTCCTCATCCCACATTCTCAGGAGAGTTACTTTTTTGTTGAACAGGGTTAACAATACTACCAACTACCAGAGCTTCCAAATGTTTCTGGTGTTACCAAAAAAAAACCCACTTTGTACTTTGTGTATCTCTTTTCAGGAGTAAAAATTTTAAAAGCAAAATTTTCCTGCATTTTTGGAAAGTTCCCCCTACCCTGGGTGTAGTGGTAAATTTTGTGATTCAGGTGCTCATCTAGGCATTTTGCATAATCCCAAGTATAATCCAAAAGGACAGGTGGCTACATTCATCGTCTTCAGGAGCAAATCTTTGGTAAAGCCTATGAGTCTTAATTGCCTGTTCAAGACAAAGCCATCCTAAATTAACTTGCATTACAAAGGGATAGTTCATAGGAATTTATATTTCCAGGAAAAATCTGATCCCTACCCATAAACTCACATACGGTGAGGATTGCATATACAGTGAGGATTGCATCTGAGCTTAGAGTGGCAGAAAAACTGGTGGAGAGATGGCAGATTACCTCTTCCTGTAGAAACCCACAGTCCCAGTGAGTGGTCTCCTCTTATTGCTCTGCTGGTCAGCATGAGAGCAACATCACAAGGATGATATGCCAGTACTACAAGAAAATTAAAAACACTCAAATTTATAATAATTTCCTAGACAAGGAGACTGATGGAAATTCTTGCCCCGTGTCATCTTTCTGGTGCATTATTAGGTGGTATTTGCTGTTTGTATGTTGAAGTTACTTGTTGACTTTTGGTGGAGGAGGGTTAATTTAGTATTTTGAAAACAAAGCATTTATCTGAAATTATTAATGTTGTTATGGATTTTAAAACTCATTCAGTATACCTGTCAGGTTTCTACATGGTGCTGAGTAAAAACTTCAGTTCCTAGCATGCATAGTTCTACAAAAGACCCATTGAATTCAATAGGATTTACTTTGAAGCATGCTTATAAAATATGAAAAACTTGGGAAATAATCTACATTAAATTTAATGACATGTTTTTCCTCCTGCCTCTTTATTTTACTATTATATGCAGGGCCTGGGTTCCAGTAAATAATTGCTACCTCATGTCTAAAGAAATTCCTTTTTCCGTGAAAAAGACTAAAAGCATATTCAACAGTGCAATGCAAGAAATGGAAGTTTATGTGGAGAATATCCGTAGAAAGTTTGGAGTATTTAATTATGCACCTTTCCGGACACCATATACTCCCAACAACCAATACCAAATGTTGTTAGACCCTTCAAATCCTGGTGCTGGAACAGCTAAGACTGACAAACAAGAGAAAATCAAACTTAACTTTGATATGACAGCATCACCCAAAATTTTAATGAGCAAACCAATGCTGAGTAGCAGTACTGGGCGAAGAATTTCCCTAACAGACATGCCACGCTCCCCAATGAGTACAAATTCATCTGTTCACACTGGATCTGATGTTGAACAGGATGCAGAAAAAAAAGCAACCTCCAGTCACTTTAGCGCAAGTGAAGAGTCCATGGACTTTATTGATAAGAATACAGGTAAGGGAAGAGAAGTAAAGCTGCTGCAATCATTGTCCTAGTTGTAGAAGGTCTTAAAACTGAAAGGGGGAAATCCAGTATTCATTATCAAGACTGGTAATAGGAGGTACCATTGGGCCCAGTTGCAGCACTATCTTTAAGTGTCTATAAAGTGTACACCTGTCTTAGGAGCAATGATACAGATTGGGTTCAAGCCAGGAAGCTTGTTTCCCATCTTTGTGTTAAACATCTAGAAAGACCTGGATAAATGTTTCTGGAGGAATTCAAAGTGATCATTGAACACAGTAAGTGAAGTTAGACTGGCATCATGTGGGGAAACTAAGAACCAGGGAAGTAGAACATGGTCCTAGGTGTAGCAGGGTGTTGACAGGAGAGGAGTCTGAAGAGTACCATGCTCTCTGTGGTCCAGCACAGGTTCCTAATTTAAAAGAATGAACATTGATTTATCAGATATTTCAAGCCATTTTTCTAGCAATTCAAAATGGTCTAAAGCATTTAGTCAATAAGAAAGAAAACTAAACAGAATGCAGAATTGATAAATAGTACAGACGAGCAAGTTAGGGACTGAAATAAGAAGCAGACACATTCTCCATTTTCTAGTGGAAAAGGGAAACTTGGTGAATTTGCACACCAGGCTACCCTGAGAATAAGCCATGGTGGGTTGCTGGCTTGTCCATTACTCCTAGCAGACAAGTCACCCACTAAACAGCATGCTGTGACTTGGGTTTTTTCCTCCTTCAGCTGATAACCAGCACATATTTCAAGGGCATATCTTGGTGAAGTCCTTTTTCCTTACATCAGCACCTTTTCTGCATTTGGTTCTCTGCCATTGCTGGCTCAGGAAGGAAACATTCCCCTTCCATCAAAACACTAGCCAGTTTCATCTTTCACTTTGGTACTTCCCTGCTAGTCAACACATTTAAATAAAAGTCACTTTGTGTTCCACCAAAGTAGTAACTTTTTCTCCTAAAGTGATTTTTTTCCTGTAGCTGCCAGCCTCTTTCAGCTTCCCATACCCCATCATGCTTGCCATTTCACTTTGCTGGTCTTCACTGCATGATGTTAGATATAGATATGGGTTACAAAGCAGGGAACAGGAACACCAGTCATTTGAAGATGTCTGGGCAAAGCAATAAAATGTGTGGGGAACTGCACACATTTCAAGGCAGGGCAGTAAAATGGAGGGAGAAGTGGTATTTTTCCTAGTAGTGGACATTAATACTTTCTTGTTTGTGGTGGACTTAGAATCATTTCTTATCATTTTCTATGAGAGAAAAAAAGAATTTAAATTTATTTTGAGGTTGAGGGCAGCAGTACTGAGAGTGTGGGGAGTAATAGAGGGTTTAGCTACCCTTTCTGGCTGGCTCTTTAATCATTCCCAACAATTTACAGTAAAATGGCCCTGCCAAGTTTTGGATGTCACAAAAAGCCACTCTGAAAACAAGCTACCCTAGACAACCTTACTACACCTACAATAGCAACCCACCATAGCTTATGGCTTAGTATGATGGACAAACTAGCACTAACTGGGTTCACACGACAATAAGGAATTGTAGTGATCCTCATTTGAGTCAGTGTGGCTTCTTGTGTTATCTGAATCAGGTGCAGAAGCTTTAACCTAGTTAATTAACTGTGTACATGTTACCCTGAGAACTCTTGGATTGTTGAAGGTGGCTTATTTTTGGGATGGCTGCTTGTGACATGCGAACTAGGCAGTATAGCTTGTAAGAGGCTTCATAGTACAGGCTTAAAGAGCCTTCTGACTGGGATGGTGAAAATGCCATCTACAACTCATGATCTTATTCATGTCACCTTCTTCCCTCATCCTTAATTTCCTCCTCTTCCCAATACCAAAATGGCATTTGGGAATGTCCATAACTTATTTTCAACCTTTAAAAATGTTTGTGTTTATGTGCGATTTGGAAGTATGCATACAAGTTTGTATTTCCCCACACTCCCAGGACCTTCAGAGTTCAAAGCAGAGTAGGTAATTTACAAGAAAATTGACAAGACAACTGTATTACTACAGATTGTGCAGACAGGTGAATCGGCATATTTGTGAGAAATGGAACTGGGGAAATTGCACATTTAAAAAGCACCCAAAAAGGGGGGGGGGGACTTTCCAAACATGTACTTGCTCCGCACAAAGGTTGTGAGGGTGAACCAATAAACTCTCACATGTCAATTTCATTCATGCACTATATTTCATCTTGAACTGAAAATTGTCAGTCCCCTCATCCCCTCCAGTGTATCCCTTGAGCCTAAACTCTGAGAAGTGGCAACTGAACAGGACAGAGCTTTTGTGAAGGAGGGTAATTGCTGTGGGAGTAATTACTGCTGAGGGGACATAATCTTTACTGCTGAAGAAAGTGCATTGTAGATTTGCAAATTTGTGAATGGCAGAAAGTAAAAATAAAGCTGTATTTGCTACATCCTGAGCACTGGGGTAAAAAGTTTAAATAGAAAAAATGTATGGAAAAGCAGTAGTGATCAGAGTGGAACAGGAACATATTAAAAATTCCCTCTGTAAAAATGAGGGTTTTTGCCACAAGGGAACATGGAATGTGCACCAGCAGTGGGTGAAAGGAATGGAGGCACAAGCAATGGCAAGCTGCTAAGCATTCTGTCCAAAGTAACATGTATTGGCAAGTGAGCAGTCCATCTTGATTTATTTTCAGGGTGGTTTATCATGATGTGTGAACCAGCCTACTGCCGTTCGTTCGTTCATTCATTCATTCTTTCATTCATTCATTTTATCTATATCCCACTTTTTCCCCAATGAACTCAAAGTGGCTTAAAAAAAGGTAAAGGTTTCCCCATAAGATTAAAGTCCAGTCATGACTGACTCTTGGAGGCGGTACATTCTTATCCTGTGGCTCTCAGCCTTATCCCCACAACAACAACCTATGAGGTAGGTTGGGCTGAGACTCTGTGACTGGCCCAAAGTCATCCAGTTGGCTCCATGGCTGAGCGGGGACTAACACCCAGATCACCTAAGTCCCAGTCCCGTGTTCTTAACTATATCACACTGGCTCTCCTGTTATTGTCTAGTATAATACATTCAGAGAAAGCATGTTAATATATTCTTTTCATGTTTTCACAATTATTTCTGTTGTAGTTTCAGCACTGAATTGTACAAAAATATGTATTTGATCTAGTGTTAATACCCAACATCTACCTATTCATGGAAGCCTTCCCTCTTTGGCATGGCTGAATTTTATCTTTTTCCTGTTTACTGTTAATAATATTAAAGTTCTTTCTGATCATTTACTGTTGTGCTAGGCTCTTGCTCATGAGTCTTATTTTCTGTAAAAATGGCTTTTTCTAATTTTATAAATTTTATACTTCTTCATTTGGGAATAAATGAAGTTCTGTTGTTGGAAACTTGTATCAAAAGAAATTCATATAGCTTTGTGAAGAACTGACCCTGAGTAAGTTATCTGTCTCTTTTAGAATCAACTCTTGCCAAATCCAGTAGTACTTAGAAGTTTTAGATCAAACATTAGTATCTGTAAAGGGTGTTTTTATCTTACTGACTTCTTCAAACTAATTACAGTGTTCAGGGTCTTTAAATTTCATCTAAATTTTATTATGCAGCTGTTTCTGGTGACAGTTGAATAAGTAGACCTTGCTTTACTTCAGCGCTTACTTTCTAGTAATGTTTATGTTTATGTTTAGGATAAGACATATTTTCAGTCTTTTAAAATAAATGGATAATGACATGCTCTGTTTGTTTGTGGAGTTCATGTTAAAGCTACATACTATCCATTAAAAAATCTAAAACATATCTGGCCCTTTTTCCTGATTCTGAATTATTCATTACCTCATTCTCCCTGCTTCACCCATGCTCTTAAATCAGAGGTGGGGAATCTATAGCTCTCCTAATCTTCTTGGACTGCAGCCCCAGTCAGCCCTAGCTGGCATGGCCAATGATGAGGAATGATGGGAGCTGGAGTCCAGCAATGTCTGGAGGGCCACACATTTCACATTCCTGCTCTAAATAATGGTAAGAAAACAAGGATAGATTTTTCTAATATTTATATTCATTGAGGTAAATGTTTTGAACATAGAATTGAGACTTTTGACAAAATGTTCCAGTGTATCCTGTCTCCTAAAAGGAGCTTCTATCCAAGATTTTACTCAACCATTTCCTACAAGGAGGGCATGACACCTCCCCACTACCCCCACTTTGAGCATGCTTAGACTTTGAACTGTTTTTTGGGTTCCCTTACATGTATGCTTAAAAAGAAAATCTTTGCAAGTCTTGGTATTCTAGGTATTCCAATAAATTGTCTTGTTTCACAGCAGCCCTGCTTTGGTTGGTACTTGCCACCCGAGTTCTCTGTTAACAAAGAAGATTCTTAAAAGCATCTAAGATGCTTCATGTGAATACAGTTTAATCCTAAACAGTATACTAAAACATTTATCTATTTTGTAAATCTGAATTTGGTTTTATTTTACTTAGGCTTCCTTGCAAAAGTCAACTAGAATAAATACTTGCTCACCAATCATTTGTTCTACAGTTACTTAATTCATGAGTAAGTCACCCGTAAAATGTGCAGAGGAGTCAAGCCTTGTTTTTAAGTAGTTTTGCTCCAGAATAGGAATGGACAACGTGTGAACCTCCAAATCTCTTACCCTACAATTGTCATTATTCCTCACCATAGGCTATGGCTAATAGTCAGTGCCGATGACCTGACAAGGGCTGATAGAAGTTATAGGCAAAAATATCTGGAGGGCCACAAGTTGTCTGTCCCTGATCCAGAAGATCAGTTTTGCTGCCTCATCTCCTCATATGGCTTAGAAAACTCTAGTCAATGTGAAATTTACTATAGCTAATAATGAGCATATCAAATGCAATTATAAAGAAAAGGAACTGTTCTAAAAAAGAAGATTCCTTTCAAAAGTGATAGAGTTGGGAAATCCATACTATCTGAAAATATTCCTAACTCGTTCAGTTATCTAGGTAAGTGTTCCATTATGTATATTCAATGAATTGTTGGTTAAATAATTTCTTTTAATAACAGGTTTCAGGACTTAGTTAGAAATGCACTTAAAACATTTAATAGGAACCCTTCAATTTTTTTGTAGCTTCCCTTTTTTTTTGTTCAGTACAGACATACATTAGGGACCCGTCTATTATTTTTTAATCATTGATATTGTGAAAAGGGCTATATAATAATTCTTCATTTTGTCTCCTTGGATAGGAGGCAAAGAACTGTGCGTCTGGTATTGTATACTCCTTTGCTTTTTTCTTCTTTTTTGAACAGGAGTCTTTTCCCATTTTGTCTCCATGCCAAGTGACAAAATGCTTTTGAAACATGGGAATTTCAATAGCACTTTCCTTGATGGTGTTGGGGTTGGCAGTGCAAAGGGAAAAAAGACAGAAATCACACAGAGTGGGCCCTCAGACATACCTAAAGAATTTTTTCAGTCCTACCTCATATTCTGAAAACAATATTGTGTCAATTGTCTACCTTTTTAGCTTCTCCAGGACCAACAAGGACAGGTCAAGGAAGTCCTAAACCTTTCTCTCCGCAAGCATCAACACCCACTGCTTCTAAACCAGAAAGAACATCTACTCCAGGAAGCATTCTTAATCTCAATCTTGGTAAGTTGAAATTGATAAAATTTCAGTCAGTTTTTATTTCTGTAAGTGGACTTTGCCTTAACTTTGAAAAGGTTCAAGGTAGATATACAAGTGCAAAGAGTCTTGTACCTGGTAGACTAACCATTTAATTTGATGGTGAGTTATAGTCAGGGGAAGCTTATGCCAGAATAAACTTGCTAGTCTTTTCAGGTACCACGAAACTCTATAGCGGGAGTGGTGGAAGATCCTGGCCTGAACACTCTGCACGCCTGAGGCTGGTGAGGAGGTTTGGAGAGTTTGGTGGAAGTGGATAGTTTTAACAACTGGCTGGAAGATGCCTGCCCACTTCCAGCAGTCTTCCCTGGCCTTTGGGCTGATTAGACTCTCCTGTCATTTGTCAAGCCAGCAGCCTTGTAGGATATATACGCAGGTCTCTTTCTGAGTAGTGGGCTACCTCTGGTTTCTCTGAAGGGGTCAACCTCAAAGGGGGCATGCACCATCAGTCTGCCCCTTAGGGGTGCCACAAGGGTGAAGATGCTTCTCATTTTCTCTTGCTCATTCCTAGTTTTATACCTGTTGACTGGGTATATGACTTCAGGATGTCCCTGGGTGGAAGAATGTGGGACCAAGTTGAGAGATTCTGTTGGAGTGGTTCCACTCCTACTTGGAAAACCTACTGCTTAAGGTAGTGCTTGAGCAATGTTGCCCAACCCATTAGATACCTAGTATAAGTTTGTTCTGACCTGCATACCATTTTAACATCTATGTGAAACCACTGAGTAGGGTCATTTGGAGTTTTGGAGTACATTTCTATCAGTATTCTGATGGCATGCAACTCTATTTCTCCTTTTCATCTCCAGCAGGTTATGCTGTGGATACGCTAAATCTCTGCCTGATTGTGGCAATGGTCTGGGTACAGGTTAACAAACAGAAAATGAATCTAGACAAGACTAAGATGTTGTTAGTGGGTGATTTCTCTGTCTAGATAAAGAGTGTTCAATACGTTCTGGATGTTCAGTGTTCTTTTCTCACCTTGAAGAAACAAATACATAGCATGGAGGTTCTCCCTGAATTATCTTAATCACTTGAGACTTAAGCTGCCCCAGTGGCATGGAATACCTTCTATGAGCTCCAGCTGGTGATCCAACTATGCCTAAATCTAGACATGGATAGCCTGGTTGCAGCAGTCTATGCTCTGGAAATCTCTAACCTAGATTATTGGGATGTCCTTTGCAATGGTCTGCCTTTGAAGTCTGTTTAGAAGCTGCAGGGTTTGCAAAATGCAGCAGCCAGAATAATAATTGGGATCAATACGTCTGAACATATGAGATCAGTTCTGATCCTCTTGCATTGGTTGCATATATGTATCCAAGCCTGATTCAATGTTCTGATTTTAACCTGTAAGGCCGTACACAGCTTGAGACTCCAGCACTTGATGGAGTGCCTCTTCCAGTCTCAGTCGACCTAGACACTACACTTAGTATGCAGAATTGTCTTCTGAGTGTCAGCTTTAAACAAAGCTTTGGGGACAGCAACAAGGGGAAGTGTCTTCTTAATGTCGGCCCCCCCAACTATGCAATTATCTCTCTACTGAGGCCTGGCACCACCCTTGTCATCTTTTGGTGTCATGTTAAAACATGCTAATATAAGCATATTTAAGGGCTTGAGGGGACTACCCATCCAGAGTGTTTTACAGATCTGCCTTCTATCATATAATGTTTGAACTTTTTAAAATTTGCTGTTAAATTTTTGTGTTTTGAAAAAGTTTATGCTACTTTATTGCAATTTTTAATGAACTGTTGTAAACTACCCCAGAGAGCTTTGGCTGTTGGCAGTATAGGAATGAATAATAGCAATAATGAATAATGATAATAATAAATTATAAATAATTTATAATTATAAAGCAATAAATAATAATGATAGTTTTAATAATAATACTAATAAGCTGAATGTGTAATTTATGTATTCCATTTGAAGCAATTTCATATGTCATGAAAAACTAATTTTATGGCTTTATAAAAACATTCATGAAAGCTATATTAAATAGATACAGTTAATAGAATTTTGAAAGCTAAATGACAATTTACCTACTCCGCTAGTAGAAATCAGAGTTTAGCTTTTTTAAAATTTTGCATTAAATTAAAGGTTTTTGTCAAATTTCTCAAGTGTTCAGTAAAATAGATAGAATAATCTAGCCTTGAAAATAGGTTATAAATTGTTGGAATAGCATGTGAATGCATGATGGCTATGACTGAATTTTTTTTTAAGTACCTGATCATTTGGGAATTACTACAGTTAGTAAGTGTTGGGTTATGTATCATTCCTGCTTTGCCTTTGGGCTGTTATCTGAGTTTCAAAAAATATCCATGTCATAATTTGGTCAATGTTAACTAAAATCAGTGGTTGGATTTTGTGAGAGCACTGACTTAGTGCTTGACTAAACATAATGCTAAGTAGGTTTTATTGTATAGTTACATCATCAGCACAATCAAGGTTCATAGCAACCCAACAGGGTTTGCATAAGAGTGGATTGTGCTCATGGGCTAATTGGTTTAAATCCTACCTACTTCAAGGGGATTTACAACGCAATGCTGTGTTTGCTAGATAGAGTCTAGGCAGCTATGGAATTTTTTCAGTGCCTAACCTGGTAACTTTCTCTGAAGACAGAGCTGGGACTCGGAACTCAGAGTGCCCTGTTCGTGCCCTGGTATGGGAAAGAAGCATAGCAGTAACAGCTCTGCACTAGCAAAAGAGATCATAAAGAAGGACATTTAAAAGTGGGAAAGGAAGGAGAGAAGCGTAGCCACAGTACAAAGTATCCTGGAAGCACCTCAGCTTCCTATTCTCTCACTCTAAAGTACAACACTTAGATGGCCAAAATATGTGTGTTTTGCAGGGTAGGTGGAACATAGAGGCTTCCTTTTCCTCTGCACTCCTCCCACACTGCATATGATGCCCATAACTTGCCAAGTACAGAGATGTCAGAGTCCAAGGCCAGGATGTGTGCAGCTGGAGACAAGACAGGCATGAGGGCCTCAGCAACAGAACTTACAGCAAGACAGAGTCCAAAGACCAAAAGCAAGGTTTAATTGCAAGTACCAGTGTCCATGGTCAAGAACCAGCAGTGTGTATCAGGGCAGAACAAGGAAATGACCATGAACAAGCCAAGGGTCAAGAACAGGAAGGTGCAGGTACCTTGAGGTAGGATAAAGGGACAAGATACACAGCAAGGCAGGACACAGTATAAACCAAATGTGGCAAGGGTCAGGCAAGGTGGAGGAGCTGCACCAGAGATAGCAGGTAGGCCTGCATTGTCAGTGCAAGAGTCAGGCACAGCAAGAAACAGAGGAATCTGCATTGTTAAAGTCTAAATGGGGGAGTTTGCTCTTACATAACTCTTCCCTCAAGAGTCCCAGCTGGTGCTCATCAAGAGACTGAGGGCTACAGCAGGGCTTGGGACTGATCCTGTGAATACTGAAATGTGCTTCTGGTTCTGGCTACCAGTTGAAGCTCCAGAGAAGCCCAGATTCTGACAGAAAGGTTATAGGCATCTGTATTACGCTTTGTTCTTAAGTAATTCAGTGGTTTGTGGGCTTGCAGCAAATCTTACAATAACAGTGTTCAGCATCCATAGTCAGCAACTGCAACATATGTGGTAAGGATTAATGAGAACTCTGATGACATTACGATGGACTCTACTTGCATTTTCTGTTTAAATTGTATTTTCATATAAATAAATACATTTTTATATTGTAGATCGCAGTAAAGCTGAGATGGATCTGAAAGAGTTGAGTGAATCAGTCCAGCAGCAATCCACACCTGTGCCACTGATTTCACCAAAACGACAAATCCGCAGCAGATTCCAGCTTAATCTTGACAAGACAATAGAGAGTTGCAAAGCACAGCTAGGTATGGACATGTTAATAGTGTAACTTGCATAGTTGGCATGAGAATTAAACACATTTTTCATTTTGACATCCCTTCTATAAGTAGAAAATGTGTTTATATGTACCATTGTTTAGAATATTAAGTTTGCATCGTAAGGGACCAGAGTCCAAAGCCCCGCTTGCTCTCTGATTTTTGGACAAGCAAATAGGGCTTTTCTGCGGAAACAAAAAATGAATGATCTACTTACAAAACTCTTGTAAGGCTTAAAAAGATGGGATGCTATTATATAATTATTCTTTTATAGGTGTCTTCACTATTTTGTTTGAAAGGTTTTATTTTTAAGCCATTGTAAGCTGCTTCAAGGACTGTAAAGAGATAAACTAAAAATATATTACTCTTCATCTTTTTATAATTAGGGATCAATGAAATATCAGAAGATGTTGCAGTTGAACATAGCGACTCAGAGGATTCTGAAAAGTCAGACTCTAGTGATAGTGAATACATCAGTGATGAAGAACAGAAATCTAAGAATGAGCAGGAAGAAGAAGAAAAGGAAGGTCCAAGAAGTGACAAAGAATCTTTGGCCATGAAAAAAAAAACCAAACCACCAACTCCAACTGAAGAAAAAGAAGTAGTTAAAAGTACAAACTCAGAAGTGGAAAAAACAGATACTCCTGTCAAAGACAAAGCAAATGTAGACTCTGATAAAGAGCTTTCTGAAAAGGGAAAAAGTCAGTCACATCCTACAAAGGAGAAGCTGAAAGGTAAAGATGACACCGACTCTCCAACTGTGCATCTTGGTCTGGACTCTGATTCGGAAAGTGAACTTGTTATTGACCTAGGTGAAGACCAGTGTGGGCGTGAGGGCCGAAGAAACAAAAAAGAACCCAAGGAATCACCTCCTAAGCAAGAGGGTAGGTTACGTTTTCTTTCCTTCTGTTTTCTGAGTTGTCTGTAATGATTGAATCGTTGGCCCTGAAGTCCTGATGTCTTATAATATGGTTTTGTGCATCTAGAGTGGATAGAAATAGATTTTTTCTTTTAATCTAACTATTCTAATACCATTTCAGATCTTCCCATGTTCTTTCTTGTATAGCTGAAACTGCATCAGCCATGCAAAAGAGTAAGGTAACAGTAAACTAGGGGTAATCGAAAGCTTTGCACTACCACACATACAAAAGTAAAAAAAGAAAAAAAATAGAAAAATAGCTAAGGCACAATGGAAAATGCTAAAGAAACTGCATAATAACTGGATGTCATAAATTGCTGAGAGAAAATAAGCCTGAGAATTAGGTGGGAGTGAGAATAGAAAGACGTGGCAGGAAAAGGAACAAATAAGACAGAGGTTAAAATAAAGGGTACTAAGGGAAACCTTTCATTGTTTGGAGAAATCATTTAATGGTTAACACTTATTATTTTAGTTATTAGTTTTTTTAAGTAGCCATGAGGATGGATGTGAAAACTACCCACAGAAATTACAGCATTTCAACATAGCTGCAACTGGGCACTGGTGAATTCTCTCCACCCTGCCCCCAAAGGTAGCAGCATAAAGGAGAGTTTCTGCTTTTTCTAATTCAGGTAGGAGCCATTTTTTAAAGCCTAGTAATTAAATTTTCCAAAGTTAATTCAGGTAATTGCAGGTTTCTTTGAAGGAGATCAGAAGAGTGGCTATCTAGAGGAGGGCCTTTTCTGGGGTAGCACCCTGGCTTTGGAACATGCTCCCCGGAGAGGTGTGCCTTGCACCCACATTTTTACTCATTCCAGTGCCAGGCCAAAATTGATTGATTGATTGATTTATATCCTGCCTTTTTCCTACAAAGGGCTCAAGGCAGCTTACATCATTCTCCTCCTCCATCTTATCCCCACAACAACAACCCTGTGAGGTAGGTTGGGCTGAGAGCCTGTGACTGGCCCAAAGTCACCCAGTTGGCTCCATGGCTGAGCGGGGACTAGAACCCAGATCATCTGAGTCCCAGTCCCATGCTCTTAACCACTACACCACACTGGCTCTTTTTATTTTACCTTTTTATTTTAATTTAATTTAATTTTAAATCTTTTTATTTTACCAGTATTTTAAGAGCCAATGTAGTTTTGATACTGGTTTTTATTAGGTTTTGTTTATTTGATGCTGCTTTTTACTGCTGTATTGCCATCCTGGGACCTTAATAAAAGATGGGATAAAATTGTCATAAATGAATGAATGAATGTCCATGTCAACAACCTCAGACATGCAGATGATACTACTCTAATGGCAGAAAGTGAAGAAGAACTAGAGAGCCTCTTGATGCAGATGAAGGAGGGGAGTGCAAAAGTTTGCTTGAAACACAACATTAAGAAAACTAAGATCATGGCATCCGGTCCTATCATTTCTTGGCAAATAGATGGGGAAGAAATGGAGGTAGTGACAGATTTTATTTTCCTGGGCTCCAAGATCACTGTAGATGGGGACTGCAGCCAAGAAATTAAAAGACACTTCCTCCTGTGGAACTATGACAAATCTAGACAGCATACTAAAAAGCAGAGACATCATCTGCCAACAGAAGTGCGTATAGTTAAGGCTATGGTTTTCATAGCCATAGTTGCAATATATGGCTGTGAAAGCTGGTCCATAAGGAAGGCTAAGTGCTGAAGAACTGAGGCCTTTGAATTGTGATGCTGGAGGAGACTCCTGCGAGTCCCTTGGACTGCAAAGAGATCAAACCAGTCAGTCTTAGAGGAGATCAACCCTAATTGCTCTTTAGAAGGCCAGATACTGGAGATGAAACTCAAATACTTTGGCTACCTAATGAGAAGGAAGGGTTCACTGGAGAAGACTCTAAGGCTGGGAACAATTGAGGGCAAAAGAAGAAGGGGACAGCAGAGAATGAGGTGCCTAGATGGAGTCACTGAAGCAGTCGGTGTGAGCTTAAGTGGACTCCGGGGGATGGTGGAGGGCAGGAAGGCCTGGAGGAATATTTTCCATGGGGTCGTGATGGGTTGGATGCGACTTCACAACTAGCAACAACAATGTCCATATCGTAGGCTGGAAAGGGCTGTGGCAGACAAACCCACAATGTTGGTTTACAATGAATGCCACAAGTGAAACAATAGACTTTTGACACAACATGTTAGCCCAGCCCACTGTGCGATTGTAGCCATTTTGAATACGCAGTCCTTGCTTTGGGGTTGTCATGTCATGTAAACAGGCCATGAGTTATGCATGGGTTGTTTAACCTTTGCATAACCCACATTTGCCAAGACAACTCCCAGGCAAGGGGTTCAATAAGCAACCTGGACCCAGTCTGAGTTGTTTAAAATAACTGTGCAGTGATCCTGTCTGGGCTTGAGTTGGAGCTGAGATAGTTCTAAAAGCCTGCAATGTTTTCCATTGGTTTTAATCCATAGTGAGAGAGTTGAGAGGGTAGTAATGTGCAATCCCGCCTCCAGTATAGTTCACTGCTATGCCCAGTTGCAGATGAAGGACTGTGCTAAAATGGCAGTGTATAACAATTGTGTAGCTTTGTCTATTGTTAATACAGCATGTTTGAAGTTGGGCTGAGACTGATTTGAATTTTCAATCAAAAAGTCCTGTTGCCTCTCAGGTTGCATTAAAGATCCATCTGCATAAATTTCCTCTCACTGTAGTGTTGCTAATTGTTCTCCTTATATTTGGGCAATGCTCAGTAACAATTCTTTTTGGGAGGAGCTAATTGGATATATTTTGTGATGGAAAACTCTTTAATATTTAAGGATATGCATGTTCTTTTGATTTACCCATCTCTTGGAATCTAGTGCAAGGTCAACATAAATTGATTTTATGTGTCCTCTTGAAAGCTAAAAGACAAATATTATAATATTGGAAAGATAAACAGTTCCCAGTAAAACACCATGGGTGGAAGACTTAATGAAATCTTGATTTCTGAAGGAGGGGTGATGATTAGGCATAACTTACAAATGAAAATATATGGATATTTGAGGTGCCTTTGTTCAAGTATACTTTGTTGATGTATAGACACAATTATTATGAATAATAATGGTATGTTAAGTTTTATTTTAACATAAAATGTAACCAGTGCTATGGATTCTCCCCCCCACCACCCTTAAATATTGGTCAAATACAACAGTTTATCTATTTATTAGTTTTTTTAAAATGGTCTGGTTTGGTTGCTTTTGTATTGCACAATAAAAAATAATTGGAAGATACTTTGTCTTCAGGCCTCCTCCCAGTACTCCAAATTCAATAGCATGGATTGCTTTATGCTGCAGTGGTTTCCAGAAGACTGGTCTTGCTTTTCATGCTCAAATATTAAAGTAAATAAAAATAAGTTTTCCATTTGAAGACAGTCCTAAATTAGAAAAAGGACTCCTGTCTGCATTGTTGTTTGTTGTTTTTTAACCCCTTCCTCCACACACACATACATTGGGATATGCTGCAACATTTTGTTGCAGAACCATGGTTGTAGTAAACAAGTTAAAAAATTAATCCGAAAAGTAATTCTTTCATAATGTTTGTTTTAACACATTTGGGAATATGCTCCTTTAAATGCACACTGTGTGTATTACTGTGGTAAGTGTTTCACCTATTTAGGGAATACCCTGTGGTTAAAATTAGAGTTACCATGTATCAAGGGGCCATACTGTCTAATCATCCATGCGTCAGCATCTGGACCCTCAATACGCTTGCAGTACATTCAGTGCCATAAATTCAAAGCAAATTTACTTCTCAATAATTCTTTCTACATTGTTAAAATCAGCCAAGCCATATTCTACATCAAGGAGACATGTAGAGTGTGGCTTAACAGAGCGCAGTTGTTCTGATTTCAACCTATTGAGGTTTGCTTTTCAAGATTGAAAAATCTAAGCATTTTCACAATTCTGAGTAAGTATTGTGTTAGAATAGAAATATCAAATTATTCAAATGTTAAGTTTGGTTGGAACACTTGAATGTACAGGCATGTGCTTCCTGTTGGAATAAACAGGACTTAAACCTGGGATGCAGTTTGCTTTTAGCTGATTAGACTGCTTCTTAGTGACGTGACCAACTGAGTGCTGAACTGCAGACCAGGAGGAACTTGCACACAAGGCAGAGAAATCAGATCACATGCAGTACACAGTACTGGGCATACTATAAATAGATTCATGGTGCTGTCTAGTGCCAATCAATGCTTTTCAGCATCTACAAAAGATGAGATGAAGGACTGGTGGAAAATGTATCTGCATGAGCAAGCTATAGGAGATTACCTCCTCTTGAAGGCATATTTGGAACACTGAAAATAGATAATTGTGCTTTGAATCGTGCTATTAGAATGTACAGAGGCTTCACAGCTTGGGGCACAGTACTTGAATGGACTACCTCTTCCCATATCTTCTTGCCTCATAGCCTGAGAACATCTACTTGATGCCCTTCTTGTAAGATTTGGAGCGAGCAATTTGTGAGTAGTCTTTTTCTGATGGATCCCAAAATGTGAAACTTCTCTTTAGATCTTCCTGGTACCTACTTGGTTGATTTTTCCACTGTCTAGGAAAGGATTTTCACTTTCTTGGGCTTTTTAATTTAATTTTTAACAGTGGCTTGATTTACTTAATATATTAACAGAAGTATTACTTCCAAATTACGAGAAGTAGTGGGTTCTCTGTACTCCTCATTAGTCAAACCTCTCCTGGAATGCTGTGTCCAGTTCTGGGCACCAAGATTGAAGAAAGATGCAGGTAAATTAGAAAGGGTCCAGTGGAGGGCAACAAAAATGATCCAGGATTTGGAAACACTGCCCTATGAGGAGAGACTGAGGGAACTGGGCATGTTCAGCCTTGAGAAGAAAAGACTGAGGGGGGACATGATATCCCTCTGCAAGTACCTCAAAGGCTGTCACAAAGAATAAGGTCAAGATCTCTTCTTACTAATGCCAGAATGTAGGTTCACTTTTGATGCCAGAAAGTACTTCCCGACAGTTAGGACCCCTAGGGAGGTGGTTGAAGCTCCAATGTTGAGAGTGTTCAAGGATAGACTGGACATGCACATGACAGGTATTTCATGAGTAGAGTTGGCTGGAGCAAGGGTCAGTCTAGGTGGCCCAGGAGACCCCTTCTTACTCACTGTTTCTGTGATTCTCTGTTTCTAGATTAGATATACAACATTTGGCCTGCTTAACAGTCACTCTCCTTGAGGATGCAGTACAGTTTCCCAGATTAATAAATGATGCTTTATTAATAAACTGGCTTACTAAGCTGGGAATATTATATATGGATCTGTTACTGATTGTCAGTAATATTTTGTTACACTATCTTTCACCTATAGATATGATAACATTCAAATATATTCATTTTGATCCTCTCTTAACTGCTCCAAATTCCTGGCTTATCTCATTGAAGTCCATTGAGCATACTTTGGACCTTGATCAAGGTAGCACAAGTGTGGTCATTTTGGGTCATTCTGAGCACATGTGATATGTAAATGGTCAATGAAACCAATATGACAGACATGTCCCTATTGCTTCTGCAATGGCAGTGCTGTGATACTGTACATGATTAAAAGAGTGTGATGCTGCCTAAGGTAGCCAATGCCTGAAACATACCCAGAAAAAGGTAAAATTGGAGGTAACATCAATTTTGTGTTTCTGTAATGGGAACAAAGACCCTTTAGAATGCAATATTAGAACTGACAGGTTTCATAAAACTTGACAACTGATCATGGATTGGTACCCATGATGATCCAGACTAATTCCCACAGAATGGCATACTTTGGTGCAACAAGCCACCCTCACAAGCCATGGCTTGTGCTAGAGGGGGTTTGATTCACAATGGATTGGCATGTCATCCAAACCCAAGAAGTAAAAGGTAATCTGGAGCAGCTCTGTTACAGATTGTTTAAAGGTGTACAGAATTAGGCAGCAAGAACAGCAAAACATATAGGCATGTAGTGGTAGGAGAAAGGGAGATGGGGAAGAGATCAGAAAAAGAAAAAACATGCCCTCAGCATGCAGACCAATAACAAAAAGGCTGATGATTTTGCAAGGGATGGTGGAATACAGATTGCATTGGAAAGGTGCTTGGGATGTGTGCCACTACTGGCCAGAGGACCTGGGAAAAAGGAGGAGTGAAAATACCCACAGTAACCCTGATCATCTGTTTAGCACATTGTGAGTTATTCTGTCAACATCCAGCCCACCTTGCCTTATTTGCAGTGTGGCTTAGCAGGACATTTGGATGCATCTATTGTGTAACAATAAAGGGCAATTGAATGATCCAAGTAATTAAAAACAATACCAGAACAAAAGATTATAAATAACATGTGAGACTGCTAGGTAGATATGCTCTTTGAGCAAGTAGAACTTACAGCTTGTTATCTTTTACTGCACACATTTTCTTTCCAGGTTGACTCATACAGGTATAGCATTTGCAGATTTCTTTCCCAAGTTAGGTAACTGGGAACAATGCAACTTTCAACTCATGCAATAGAATGAATTAAGTGCATAGATATCTGTGTTATATTCTACCTCCTTCCCTCCATCCTCCTGGAAGGAGGAGAAGCTGGCACTGATAATTCTGAATGGTCAGGAAGAATCAGTATCGTGCTTTTTTTTCCCATGCAGCTCCAACTAAAACGCCACCTTCTTCAAGCGTGAGCAGCCAGCCTCCCTCTGAAACTCAGGTGCTTACTAGATCAGCCTCCCAAACTCCTCCAGCTGGTGTCACAGCCACCACAAGCACTACATCTTCTCTCAGCACTCCAGCTGCAGCCACTGGTAGCCCAGTGAAAAAGCAGAGGCCACTCCTACCAAAAGAAACTGCCCCAGCTGTCCAGAGGGTAGTGTGGAATTCATCAAACAAATTTCAAACGTCTTCCCAGAAATGGCATATGCAAAAGGTTCAAAGGCAGCAACAGCAGCAACAGAGTCAGCAGCAGCAACCTCAGTCTTCCCAAGGAACAAGATACCAGACAAGACAAGCTGTAAAAGGTATTTCCACTGTTTTGCAATGGTTATTGTGCTCACGAATCCCAAACTAATAATCTTTTCATATATATGGATATTGTAAACATGTGAAAGTGAGGAAAATATTCTATCAGTTTAATAGTTAAGTGTAAATATACTTGTTTGTGTATTTATACCCTATTAATTGTAATATGAATTTCATGATCATCCCACTGTAGTTTTAATCATTGTTCCTTTGCAAACTGATGATTACTCTGTCTGTGGAACAAGATTCTGAAGATAAAGGAATTTTAAGGAGTCAGATGTGGATAACTGCTAGATTTTATATTTCAAAGTAGTGGAAGAACAGCCACTACTTTTTTTGTCCCAACAGCCTTTGTTTCAAACAAATCTGTTTTGCATTTAATAGAGAATAATCTATTAAGTTTACCTGATACCTCACATATTCCATATTATTAAAAGTGTTGCACAAACTGCAAATGTTGGGGTTTCAACATGATGCCTCTTTAATCTTCTCCGCAGTTTTCTTAAAGTCCACCCTCAAATAGTTCTGGAGAACTCAAAAGTTGTTGAGTTTCATTCTCAAAAGTTTCATTTTGCAGCGTTCTTGTTGGTCCTAAGAAAGCAAGAAAGTCTGCTGGTCCTAAGAAAGCTATGGCACTTTTGTATAATTTAGAGGACATTTTACAATGGGTGTTAAAACCATTATGTATGTACATTATCTGAATCAGCCTTCCCAAATGGTGCTTTCCAGATTTTTTGGGCATCAACTTCCATAAGCTCCAGTTAGTATGGCCAACATTCAAAAAAACAAGTAGTTATAGACCAAAATATAGATAAGGAACACTGCTATGCAAAATACCTTCATCTCCAAAATAACTTAATGACTTGTCCTAAGATTTTCTGGCCCAGTGTGCACGAATAGCCATGCCAGCATAATGTCACAGAGCATATGTCACTACTGCAAGAATTACTGTCATACTCAGACACAAGTGCAGCAATACAAATATTTAAGATTAAACTGAAAGATACTGAACAATATTCAGGAAAGAGTTTGCCTGCTATTTATTTTTCAAATGCATTAAAATATGTAGTGGTTCACTTGTGTGTTTGTTTTGCATCCTTAGCTGTACAACAAAAGGAAATCACCCAGAGTACTTCAACATCAACCATTACCTTAGTTACCAGCACTCAACCTGTTTCTATAGTAACCAGTTCTGGATCAGCAAGTACACTTTCATCTTCAGTTAATACAGACTTGCCAATAGCGACAGCTTCAGCGGATGTGGCTGCAGATATTGCTAAGTATACTAGTAAAGTAAGTTTTTAAAAATTCTTATAAATTTTACTCTGAAGTTAAAACATTGGATAACATGCAACAAAGATTGTTATCCACCCTAAATGATTATTCCTCTACTATCACATGTATAGGATTAACCTTTGAGGACATGGACCAACCTTTACAGCAATATTTTAAACTGGCTGCTTATGTGTAGCTTGAAGCACCATAACTTTTCTTGCCCTTGCTTTCCAAAATCAGAAGTTTGGAATTTTTATCATTTTTAACATTTATGGTATTTTCTGAACATACACATGCACATCATATTTCTATTATGAGGTACCCCCTCATTGCATTCATCTTTCATCTCTGATACTACTTTTATATAGCTAGCATATCATTATTTAATGTATCAACATCAGAAACAACAACTTCAACCTTTTCCTCAGCAGAATAGGAAAATTGTGCTCAGGGGGTGGAAGTTCACATCAAAAATCATCCATGTGCTGGTTAGCAGATGTTGCCACCCATTCAAGAGGAGAGAAATGAAGCTTTCCCACACCTAAAGAGGTCTAAGACAAAGCAGAGGGGCAAACTAGGCACCTGCTTGGGGTGCATAAATCCCAGCTGTACCTCTTTTAGCCTTGCAGATGTCTTACAGAATGAACACTCCTCATGAGTGAGGAGCCTGAGCAAGGAGCAAAGCTTCTAAGGGAGGCAATAACCTAAACGTATTTAATGTAAGAGATAGAAGAATGTAGGAAAAATGAACAAGAGATTACCCCAAGGAGTTTACAGTCTCCAATGAGTGGGAGAAAGGTGAAGAAAAGTAATGGTTGCAGACCAGCTTAGTTACATATCCTCAAGTGTTCCAATTCAAATGAGTAAGAGTTCGAGCTACAGATGGTCTTTGCAGGGGGATAAAAGGAGTGGGGTAGCACTAGTTAGGACCCATGGGGTCAGTGAGGGAACATACTTAGTACTCTAGGCTTAAGAGAATATTACCCACTTTACTATGAAGAGTAATGATGTTAGAATGAAAATGCTGAACCAGAGCCAACTGGGACAGAGAGGTCTTGTAGAGAAGTAGCTGTGACCCCTTTTCAGGCAATCTCACTGTAGACTATTGGGGGAGAAGTGTATTGGATTCTGCAATTGCCATTCAGTTCAGTGTAGGGCTACCTGAGATGGGAGTTTGTGGGCAACAGAGGGAGCTTTCTTTTGCCTGTCTCATCCAAACAGGTGGAGAACTTAGAAGCCAAACAGAAGGGAAACACGATGGGTTCTACCATAAAGGACATTGGGATATGTGCCATTGCTGGCAGGAAGACTTGAGCGGAAGGGGGAGCAACATATGGTAAACTCAGTTGTCTGCTGGGTGTGTTGTGAGTTATGTAAACATTCAGTCCATTGAGGCTTATTCACAGGGCAACTTAGTATGTCATCCAAAATGCTCATTGACAAGCTTCAGATGATAAAATAACCTACGTTCAGAGTTGAGTATGGTTTTTTCCTGAAACAATGGGTTGTTATTGAAACATGGGTTATTCCGTTGTCTGAACTCAACTGCACTAGCAAACCATGGTTTCTTCCATGAGAGATCCCATGGTTTCTTGTTGAATTGTGAATTGTGGGGGTTTTTTTGGTTAACACACCATGATTGGGTATGAGTATGGGTTATTATGTTTGAACTCTGCCTGTAGCTCAGTGGTAAAGCACAAGGTTAATAATTATTTATCTTTCCTTTCCCTATTAAGTGAAGACGTATTCATCACAGTGAATAGGCAAATATATTTAAGCATGCTTATCTGTTTTTTGTTTTTTGAATTGTACCAACTGACAGTACAGATTGCAATTTCTATGACATTCTCTCCATTGTGCCATTTTCGAGTCTATAGATACTGTACTGCAACTCCTGTGACTTACTAAGATACTGACAAAATAGCTACAGAAGTAGCTGCTGCAATGCAAGATGACATGGAGTTTACAAAGCAAAAAAAATCACTTTGTTCCACCACAAGAAACACTTTTTTTATATTTGGTCATTCGCAAATAACTTAAAGTGTGATGTTGTGGGAGAAATTGTAGGTTGAGACAGATTTCAAACCTTTTCTGTGTTGTTTCCTTCAACTCAAAATCCAGTAGCCAAACCTTCTTTGTCATAATATGAATTAGCAAGGCTGTTTTGGTGCTTTATCGAATATCAGCCATCAGTGCATAGCTAGCCAGTTTATAATAACAGCTGTGAAAGTTTCCCCATGTGTCACAGCTGGTGAACAATAGTACCACAAATGGGGCTACACAGGGCCAACACAACTTAAACAATCTTTATGACAAGTAAGTAAATCCACTTTGGTCAAGGTAGGAACAGCATTAAATAAAATTAATTTCTGTTATTTTTTCAAGGGTTCTGTTTAAAAAATACAGCTTCAGCACAATCATATGCCTTTGCTATTTCAGAAAGAAGCTGTCTTGAGAGGGTGATCATTTGAAAGTTTGCAATGTGGCTTTTGAGTTTTTTATCCCTACCATTGTTTCTATTTTAAGAATCTTTTCTAGGTTTTGTTGGGTTAACTCTGGATTTCACAGCGCCATTGTGTTAATTAAGCTTGTGATTTAGTCAGACTTTAAAATATGATGATGTCATGAAGTAAGAAGTTAAGTAAAGTTTACATGAAAGAGTAAACTGAGGAATTCTTTATGTTCGGTGTAATGTTCCGGCTTTGCTATTTTGAGGTGGTGGAGGCAATAGAATGGTCTTTAATAAGTTACATTAAACTTCTTAGTGATTGAATGTTTTGCATAAGGTTACATAAGATAAAAGTTTAAAGGCATATCGTTTCATTCTCTCAAGTCCTCAAGAGGTAACAGTCTCGGTTCATTTTTGACACATTAAATGTGGAACAGATTCCCAGGGTTTTCATTTAAAATCCTCAAATCATTAGGGTTAAAATTTAAAACATTTTTCAAATGCTGTCTTCTTCCTGATCAATGCATGCAAATAAAGTTGCATTCTGATTGCTGTTTTGAGGCTTGGATGAGGTAGTGATGCAAGTACTGAATTCTGTGCTTTTTACATGGGGACTAGTGCTTTTGAATGCTTTGACAGGTTACAGGTACATGGCAAGATTATAATTTAATACTGTTTGAAGAAAATTTGTGAAAACTAGGCTGAAACCAAATGTCTGAAATTTCAAGTGATTGTTCATCAAGCCACAAGTATTTTGTAGTACATTCAATGTTGCACATGGCATCTAAAATTAAGATGAAAGCAATTTTGTTGTGGTCCTGAAGGTTATTTGATTTCTAGGATTTTATCCGTGGTGACATTAAGAGCAGAGCCTCTAGAAAGGACTAAACTAGAACAATCCTAGAGTTAGCTAAACATAGGATCTCCAATTTAGCTGTTCATTTCCATACATGTTGTATGGAATAAAGACCCCCATGGACTATAACAGGATTAATGTGACCTATCTATCATTATTTCTTGGTCATCTTTACGAATGGAACCCTCTCAAGGTAGCATACAATATTTAAAAAAACGGAGTGGGTATTTCTTTTTAAAAAATTCATCAAGATTTGTTTCAATAAAATCCATATCATAAATTCCCAATTAAAATCAATTAAAAATAAGACTTACCTAAGATGCAATTTTGTTTTCTGGGTTTTTTTAATTGCATCCAAAATAGAAAACATATCTCCAAGACAGAATGAAAAATCTATTTGAAGAAAAGTGTGCATGTATGATGTAAGCAAAAATTAAGGATTCTTTTCACAGAATAAAGAAATTAAAAAGCAAGATCACTTTTAATTTCTTAATAATTTTTAACAGATGATGGATGCCATAAAAGGAACCATGACTGAAATATACAACGACCTTTCAAAAAATACAACTGGGAGCACAATTGCTGAGGTTAGTATCTTTTGCCAGCAGCAGGTCACATTTCTTTTAGAAAAGAATACAAGTAAATGCAGTTGGAGCCATGCATAAGTTAAATTCCCTGCTTATTTCCACATGGGGTCACCCATCTGGTTGCAAGGCCATGCCTTCCCAACTTAGCAAAGGTGACTTAACATGCTAGCTAGATGTTTAAGTTTTGCAGGCAGACCCTTATTCATATGCCTATTATGGAAACTACTGGTTGGATGCTGGTTGAGAGAGGTGCAGTAAGCTGTAGGTATAGGTATAGAACAGGGGTCGGCAACCTTTAACACTCAAAGAGCCATTTTGGACCCATTTCCCACAGAAAAGAAAACACTGGGAGCTGCAAAACCTTTTTGACATCTAAAATGAAGATAACACTGCATATATAGTTTTTTACCTTTATGCTATGTATAAAAAAACTATAGTGTGTTGCATTTATGAAATCAATGAACTGCTACAGAGAAAACAAATTTTTATTTCTGCATGCAACAAAAACATTTTGTTTTCTGAAAAAAAAGATGCTGGGTTGAAAGTTACTTTCAAATAAAATGCTCAATGTCTATCTTAGTCCTCGTATTTATGAAACAAAAAGCCAAACTTCTATTATCCACTAGCAGCAAACCAAAAATGCCGTCTGCTTCTGTGTGCCTCATCCTTTTATCACGTGGTGAAATATTGAACAAACATCCCTCTCCCAATGTAATAATATTGCTGGAATTTTTATAAGAATCTTTTTAAAACCAAGAAGTAAATCTATATCTTCATTATGATTTAGCTGCAGCTCAGTCACTAAAACTTGTTATTTTTAATCTTACATTATAAACTAGTAGGATTCCTTTCATATATTTTGAATAGGAGCTTCCTGCAGAGTCTAAGTCAGTGCTAAAGGGCTGCATGCATTAAACAGCAAACCCCATAAGTTCATCAGCAGTAAAAGCAAATAAATCTACCCATGTACCATTAAACGTTCGATTTTCTTCAGAAACTTTTTTTCGGATTTATCTATGGTTGGAGGGGGGGAAAGCTCAGTAAATTGGCGCCGGTCGCAGATATAGGTGTGTTTAGTGACTGATTAGCAGATAAACAGATGTGAATTGTGACAGGTCCCAAGCACAGCTTTTACCATTCAGTTGAAGGAGATTACATTGGGACAAAGAGAATCTTTTCAGCAGCGTTTTGTGTAACGTGAGAGCCTACAGGAAGCTTGTTTAGCAGAGGAATGTAGCGATTTACTTAACCAGCTGATTTACTTAACTAGCTAGCGCTGCTTTCCTGAGTGGAGCTTCAAGCAGATCAGTGGCTGTTCCGGCGCGTGTTTTGAGCGATGGAGCCGCAGCAGAGGGGTTCAAGAGCCACGTGTGGCTCTGGAGCCGTGGGTTGCCCACCCTTGGTATAGAACATGAAAAGGTTCTTCAGAAAACTGCTGCTACTATGCTAAGGATGTCAGTGACCTTGTTCACACATAATGTCAACCCATCATTTTAAATTTGGTGACTTGCACAACTCATGATTGGTTCCTTCATAGGTGGAGCAGCCTAATGTGTGATCCAGACTGCTACTTTTAGCCCCTAAGCAACCCAATAGTTCAGGTTCTTGTGCCATGCTGCACCACTTGCAAAAGAGGTGATTATGGGTTATATGGAAAAGTGGAAGGGTTTAGTTTACTTCAGGTAATGTGCTCACTAGTGCACAGCAGTCCATTGGTTTTTAAATGGGTTGTTAATAAATGTAAAGAAGTCCAATATAGTAGTTATACTTTCTGATATGTATGGCAAACTAGTTTTCCAAAATTCTCTTTCCGCACTTAACTAGTTCTCCTCTGGGACTTGCTTAGACAAATTAATTATCCTTGCTCTTATCACAGTGTCACCATCTCAATTTGTATAGTGAATATATTATTTAAAATTTACTTAAGTGTTGAGAGAGTTGTTATTTGCTATAGGGCCTGAGGAATAGGAAGGCTGTTATTGAAAAAACGAGAGCTTGTACTCCTGCTCTTTACTCCCCTGTTGTTCATGGACATACTTTGCTCTGCCATTTCCTTCCAACTTAGAAAAGGGGAGAGAGTGAGATGTGCAATGCCTATGCTAATCAGAATTGTGTGGGCAGTGTATGATTAACTGGAACACATTTGGTATGACACAGCATTAACAAAAAAGCTTCATCTAAAAAAACAAGCAGAGCAATTTTTTCTGTAAGTCATTTTTTTCTAAATGTACTTTATCTAGACTGCCCTTTACCAAAATATTCTTAATGCTGCTTATGACATAAAATGAAATTAAACTTGCAGCAACAGAAAAAAGGAAAATTGAGACAGTTGGAGCTTATTTTGTTGAGCCCTTCTGGCTATGCCAAGCTTTTTTACTTATGCCATCCACTATTGAATATGGTGATAGGATATTATCTCTGGCCTCCACACCTCAAAGTGTACTAACTTTAGAAAAAATGGAACAAACTTAAACATTGTTCATATAGGGCATTCTTGTTTTAATTCTGCTATGCTGATTTGTATAACATGTAGTTTTCTCTGAATGTCTAATTTTCCTTTAGAGATTCTGTAACAGATCAAATCATATCTGCTTTTTTGGAGCAGAACAAGTGCTTCATTTCCTATCCAATTTTGCTGGATCTTTACAAAAAGATTATCAAAATAAACCACTGTGAAAGCTTACACACTAAAAAAACTGAAATGCCAAAAGGCCAATCTTTGCTTCATTTTCAGCACAGTTTCTGATGACTGAATTCTATTTTGAATTTGTTTGTGCTGTCCTTAATTCCTTTGTTAATTCATTAAATGAAACAGCATAAATATTTTTCTAGCTCTATAGTTTTCTCTTAAAACAAAGGAAATATAAGTCTCTATTTGCTATTTTTATTAAAATCATCTGGTGCTTGAATATTTAATTCTGATTGAAAAACTGAAATGTTCCCCCTGATGATTGAATTGTAATGTTATAATGCCATGAATGTTTGTCATCAGAAGTTCTTGTAAAGCATCATCTTAGAATTGGCATTCCTTCCTTTCCCATTTTCTTTAAATATAATTTCCACAAAACAATAATTTATCTGTTAGCTGAATTCTATTTCAGGGAAGCTCTTGGGCTGAATTCCAGTGATGGGCAGGGTGAAAGGCAAACAAAAGCAGGGTGAAAAATGCAATCATATTGAAGTTTTAACACTCTTGGTGCCAGTAATTAAACCTTAGGAAAGGTATTTCAACCTCTTTGGATGGGTTGGACTAGGAAAATTGCACAAAAGTCAGGAAACCGCCAAATTATAAGCAGTAAGAGGGAAAAGAGATGGAAGCAAGGGGAAGGCCTGGGAAACCCCGGGGCCTAGATTGGGACCCGTCAGGATGAATTTGGCCTCATGCACTGAAGTTCAACAATCCTGATTTAGTGTGTAATAAACAGGGACAGAGTCGATTCAGAGATATTGTTTTGTTTATATGGATACATTTACAGATTTTAAAAAGCAAGTCAAACTCTTATGTTTTCTTTAACTAATGATTGCCCTAATTATTTATTTGATATTCCAGATTCGTCGTTTGAGAATTGAAATAGAGAAGCTGCAATGGTTACATCAACAGGAACTGTCTGAAATGAAACATAATCTGGGTATGTACAAGTGCACTTCAAAATAAAGAAAATGTTACTACTTGTTTTTAAAGCCATGGCAGTTTCCCAGTTGTGACTATCTGTGATAGTACATACTGTTCTTATGTGAAAGGAACATATTTTAAAACATGCTGTGCCAAGCTGTTGTTCATGTGTTGAGTCAGTTACAGTGGACCAACTCAGACAAAACAGTAAATTATATTGTTTTTATGATACCCAAATTGCTTTTATCCAAATCTGTTCCTTTAGAAATCTTGATGGGGAGTTACACTGCAAAATTGTCCACCCAAATAGTAATTAAAAGTGTGTAAGGTGCTGAGATTTATTTCTTCATATTGCAGGTACAGTTAGGGGTGATATTTTTGGAACAGAAGTTACTGATGCATCTCAGGCTAACACCAATAGTACAATACAATTCAATACAATAGTAGTGTATATTTTGCTATTTGTACTTACTATTGATTTTATGCTGTCCATTTATTACCTAGAACTCACAATGGCTGAAATGCGGCAAAGTTTAGAACAAGAAAGAGACCGATTGATTGCAGAAGTAAAGAAGCAATTGGAACTGGAAAAGCAGCAAGCTGTGGATGAAACTAAGAAGAAGCAGTGGTGTGCTAACTGCAAAAAGGAAGCTATTTTCTACTGTTGTTGGAACACCAGCTACTGTGACTACCCTTGCCAGCAAGCACACTGGCCAGAACATATGAAGTCCTGCACACAGTCAGGTAATCTGCCACTGCTGTTACAGTGAAACTGTAATAAACTTTTTTAACCAGTTTGCAAGCAGGCAGAACTTGTTTAATTCCATTTTATTTCATTTTAGCCACTGCAACGCAACAAGAAGCAGATACTGAAATTAGCACGGAACCTTTAAATAAATCATCCCAGCCTGCTTCCACTGCACAGCCTGCACCTACAGAGACAGCCAGTATTCCAAAAGAAAAAGAAGCGGCTATTGAAAAGAGCAAGGAGAGTGTTACAGTAAGTATTATATTTCTTGTGTTAATTTTTAAGGTTGTGCAAAGTTCTAAATTATTTTTCCTTTTAGCTTTTATGAATAGGAGGACAGCATTCATGTAGAGTCATTTCTATAGTGTTTAACTTAAGGGAAGAATCAATACGTCTTCATGTTCTCCTGTATTTTCCTTTGTTATCCTTTCCTTTATCATGCCATGGACTAATGAAATTGTGTGTAATTTTGAAATAGGTTCACAATGAGTCAAGGCAACTGCTGTGGCTCATCATGAATGCTGTTCAGTCTTATTCTCATCTGAGTCTTTTGAAATGCAGATTGCATATGCTACATAGAGCTGATTATACAGCATGCCCCACTTTGGTTGCCACGTGTCCAGGACCCAGTCTGAAGCTGTTGCTCACCTTACCACTTTACAAAATCCTGTAGCCTAACACTTTTGTAGGACTGGTAGACATTAGATACTTAGGTTAAGTATACAAATGTACATTTACTAATGTTTTGTGGTTAGGTTATGTTTTATGCTTCAATTTCTGCAGCATTACAAGCACCCATAATTAATTAAATGAATGGCTTCATATAGAACAGGCATTCTGTGTTTTATCCCTTCATACCCATTTATTCGTTCATTTTAGGAAACGCAAATACCGCACAATACATTTTCAGTTTTTCCTAGTATCTTAAATATGTCAGTGCATCTTATTTGAGTGATTCAGGAACAGGACATAATGGTGAACACAAGAATTCATGCTTTCTTTGAAAGTATGCCTTATAAAACTACGTAGGTTGACTTCTAGGCTTCATGCAGGAAATTCTAGACCCAAAACATACTGGACGAAAAGAGGAGAGACCAAAATAGACAGCTTAAAATACATTGAAAAGTGAAGGTATGTCTTACCAGGAATCACAAACTATTTGGATACATGGGGCAGAATTCAGTGAGGTAACTGTACCCCTACCCATTCTTTCCTGTCTTTACTGCCCATAAGCAGTAGGTCCCACTGATTGCATTGCACAAGCAGGACCCAGTGCTCATGTAAGAGAAAGTTAAAGCTTCCTGAAAGGATGCAGGTGGCTGAAGCTCCTTTATGCAAGTTCCACCAACCTTTCTTCTTTTAGGAACAAGCATTTCTGTTCATTTTGGGTTGCTCTAGAAGTGCTAAATCACTGTTGAGCAAGCAGTGGAGGCTGCCTGTACAATACAGTCAGCAGGAGGGAAGTGAATCTGTGGGAGTGTGAGCATCCTGTTGGATTCTGCCTGCAATGACATTTTAAAAGACCAGTCTGCCTTCCTTGTGGCAATGCTGTATTTGCTATGATCTGGCATTACTTCCAAGGGAAATGTCAAGATGCCTAAGATGTCTGTCTGAATATTCTGCCTTGAAAATCTCAAATTGCTTTCACATAATTGTTACACCTCTTTGGAACATCAAGCTGTATACATTGCTTGCCTTCATATTTTGAATTTTGCTTTTATTTATAAAGATGTAGCCTGTGAATTCATTGAGATGCAAATTTTTAACACAAGCCAAGCATCTAATAAAATTCCATGGGTTTGATTCAGTGTTTACTCCCACCAGCAAAGCACTTTCATTCACTGTGTTTCAATTAGTGGGAAAGAGGAGAAAGCAATTTGTGCTGAGTTCCTCACCCCTGCAATCCCCAGTTCACCTTTCCACACACTTTCAAAAGATCCTCCAACCTTCTACAGTAGATTTTCAGAGGATATAGGGGGCTGTAGAGAACAGGGAAATCTGAAAAAGTAACGGCTCTTCCACCAGAGGAAGTGTTCCACTGGACTAAAAGCATTCCATGAATGGAAGGCAAGCTCTGGATCCAAACCCATGTCAATAATTAGGTGGCATTTATGTAAAAACTGAAGTTACCTGTGCTGTCTCTACCTTTAACTGAGGTTACCTGTGCTGTCTCTGCAGATAGCAACAGGTGTGACAAGCAGCCAGCCTATAAAACTGGTCCAGGTACCGCAGACCACCACCTATATACCAACTACTCAACCCACAATTGTAAGTACTGTTCCTGGCATTGAAACAGCTCATTATATATTTTTGGGGGTTTGTGTTTTTCTCCTGTGTTATCAGGATATGAATTCACTGGTCTCAAATCTCAATTTGCAGTGCAAAATGCCTTATTTTGCTGGACATTTCCATTTCTCTTATGCCATACATTCTCATCACAAGCACAACCAAGGATTCAGATTTGATGTATTAAAATCCTGTACTCTGCCCTTCAGCACAGTTTTTACAGTAGTTTAAAAAAGCATGTATATGTAGCTGTATTTTAGTTTCTCTGTTTTGTATAAACATCAGTACAAATATAGACAACTGTGTGTCCTTCAATGTGCATTACAAAAAAGCTGCATTTTAACACTGGGTTTCCAGGTAACACTGAAGAAAGTAACCATACAATATGATGTCTGTTCCTTTGTGGAACTGTGATGTGCAGAGTTGTACAAGTTCACAGCAAGCAAGTTAGGAATTAGGCCACTGTTCCATGCTCATTTAGCTCATGAGCATTGTAATTTCTTTTTGTGGAAGAAAAGAATGGTAACAGAAGTTAAATCACATTTAGCTTTCCATATAATACTCCTCAGTTCCCTAAATTTAATCTTCTTAAGGATCATCCTTATTTCAAAACAAAGAGTAGATGTATACCTGAGAAATAATGAACTATTTTTTGAATAATACTTGAGTATCCTTTTGGCAATTGTTGAGCAAGGGCAGCAAAAACACTTGCTGAACTTGCCTAAGCCACCAGCAGTGACAGCTGCTCTATCAAGTGCTTGAATGGCACTTTGGAGTGATTGCCACTGATAATGTGCTCCCTGGTGCAATTGTGATCCCCTTTGCTATTGCCACAGATTATTTTATTATTTTTATTTCATTTTATTTTCAATTAAATTATCCTCACACACCTTTTTCCTTGTTTGGCTGCATATGCACCTGTTCACAAACCCTGTCAAAAATGAATTTTACAAGAAAGCATTCCTGGCTACCTAGAGTTTTGGGAAAGGGTGGTAAAAGTAAAGGTTTGCTCAATGTCCTTGGGTGGTGCCTGCTTTGATAGAAGGCACTCATTAACCATGCAGGGCTTCAGATTGCAGGCAGTTGGATTTATGCACTCTGTGCCACACACTTAGAATTATAATTATAGTTACTATCATTCTCGCCGTCCGAAAACATTTGTGCAAGTGGTGAGGTACAACAGATATAGGTGGTGAACTAGTCATGACTCTGCTTCGGCACAGTGGAGGGACTATCACTTCAGAGATCCCAAGAAGCATTTTCTGTAAAAGGAGAGACAAAGCTGTAGCAAACGGCAGAATGAGTTGCAATTGCTGCAGTGAGAGAAGATGGTTTCTGCCACACTCATTTCCTTGGAAAGAAATGGGAGGAGTAAGGGAAAGGAGGAGCAGGACAACTCACACTGTTTAACTTATTCACAGGATGGGTTGCCATGTTGTGTGAATGTTACCAAACCATGGCTTGTTAGTGCAGCTGGGTTCAGACCCTAACCCACTATGTTTCAGCAACTCCAAGCATGGGTTATCACATTGTTTGAATCCAGCCAGTGTTGTTATTACTAGAAGGATCAGTGGTATATAAGGAAACTACCCAAGTTGTGAAGTCCTGGTAGATGGGACTTACTCTGTAGTGCTGACCATGTTTGATCATTAGATCTAATTGGCCCTTATTTTTCAAAGTGACACAGAATTGACTTCAAACAGGAGTCTTCTTTGGGGGAGGGGTACTTTTGCTTCTTGCTTCAGTAACAAAAACCACAATGCCTTTGGGGCATGATGAATCACATTAAATTCTGCCATCTGCTTATGATGATTGACTTTTGCTACTATTTACAATTGCATGTGTATAGCACACAGTTATTTTTAGTCTCATGGTGTGGTCATAATGCTTAAGATAAACTATTGGGATTATACAACCATATTTGAGTTGGGTAGTAAATCTCAAAACCCTAAATGAACTCTGCTAGTGCAATATTTTCTGCAGTTCTTTATGAGAAAGACAATCATTCTGTGGTTCAAAGCTCAGCATACAGCTTGCTTACAGGAAACTCTGGTCCAAACCATATAGATCTGATTCTAGGCTGTCAGGCTGCTGACAGATTAGACAGTACTAGGTTAGATATTCTTAGCTGTCACTATTAATAGCCTATGAAACTCACATTCTGCAAATGTAAGTATGTATGCATGGCTTCTACTGGAAGCCTCAATCCAAAATCAGGTCTGATTTCAAAATGTGGGCATTCCAGGGGCATGTCAATGGATGTAGAAAACGCAAGGAGGTAATCAAACTGTACTGGGGTGAACTCAGCTCTGTTGGGAAGGAAAATCTAAACACACACCAACTGCCAGTGTTTGTTAAAGCATGTGGTAAAATTATAATCTATTTACATTCATTGTGATTGCAAGTGCAGACTGCAGGTGCCCCACCCCTCCAAGCCCTCACTGGTGTTATCTGAAGAGTCACAGTATATGCTGGAGATGAGGGAAAAATCACCCCTTGCTTCTGGCACATGAAGCCACAGTGCCCATCAGAGTTACTGAAAAGAGAAGAAGAGGAGGAGGAGGATATAAAGATATATTCTCCCCACTGTGATAAAAGCAGCTGGTATTGCTGATTCTGTACCACTATTGATAACACCAAAGCAACATGTCTGTCAGGTTATGCACCTAGTGACAATAATGGCATTGCCTTGATTTATCAAGATGGTTCTTAAGTACTCGTGCCTTGTCTGAAGAAGGTTTCTAAGAAATGTTAGGTATTTCTCTCATCTAGTACTCTGCCTAAGGTAGAATCCTGCATTCATATAAGAATCCTTAAAATGTTCCCATCCCTTTATTCCACTTCTGCTAAATAGACATACAGTCACCATTGAAATTGTGTCTGTATATCCCTCTCTTCTTTGACCTTTAATTTGAAAATCCACAGTAAGCCATCTCTGGAATTCTAAAATCGTCCTCACGGCTAAACTGAAAACAAAATAAACATTTTTTGTTGTTTTGTTGCTTCCTATGTATTAATAATGCTTACTTATGAGCCCTTTAAAGACAAGGGTTTTTTTTTTGACTAAGTACAAAAATTGCTGATTTGACCCTATATGTATTATTTCATAACTGATAGGAGATTGTTTTCCAGTGCCATAGCAAAATATCTGTGTGACTCAAACTCAAAGCACGCATTTAATCAGATAGGCTGCGTACTCTCAGTGAACAAGTTGCAAAAATAATGAAAGTATATTTACACACATTTCAGGATGCATATTGAGGAATAGAAAATAGCAGTAACTTTAAAAAATATACCTTTGCCAACACACACAGTGTTTTAATGTAGCAATACATTAAGTCTCTGGGTTATGAATGTCCAAGTTACGAACATCCATACTTACAAATGAACTGCCATAAAGCCTATTAATTAAAAAAATCAAGTTAAAGACAGTTCATAGTAATGAACACAGGAGCTACTTTGTTAAGCTCATGAAAACATTCTGCAGCGTCAGTTGTTTGTTACCCAAGAGTACCCAAGTCAGTGTTGTTTCAGATCACATGAAGTTAGCATTGCCTTCTCTAACTTGAATTAACAGTAGAGCATTATGTTTAAGATGTTTTAGCATATATGGAAATGTTTCTTAAGTGTTTTATATGCATTGAAAGGTAAAATATATACATATACTAAAGATGAACATTTGGCTTACTCATGCTAAATATGACCCGCACATATGTGATCTGATTTACATTCAAATTCAACTTAAAGATATTCTCAGATTCGACTTAAAGATAGTCTCAGTCCCATTCCTAACCCAGGGACTGCTTATATTCTAGTGGATTATATTTATGATAAGTTAAGAATTCTATTTGTCTCGTGGTAACCTACTTGGGGGATCTTGTAGTATGCAAATCTGCATTTCTGTGATTATTTATCTTTGAAGTCTGACCTCTGTGTTTTGGTTTTAATCCACAGACCATTCCTGTAGTAGTAAGTCCTACAGCTGCAACTGTGGCAATGAGAACGGGAGTCCAGTATGTTCAAACAACAATGCCTGTCCAAGTACGGAGAGTCTAACTGTTAACAAAGGAATCCAGGCAGCTGTTGGAATAAATAACAATCTCTGTAATAGAAATGTGAAAAAATCCCCACAGTTCTTTGGATTAACCTCAAAGGTTCAGACTTTTAGCTTTGTGCATTTATACAAAGCATTTAACTACACTACATTAATGTAAAGCATTAGCGCTGGCTTTAAAAAGCTTGAAGACTGGTAAAATCCAAGGTAAATCTATGCTTCTGTTGTAAATGATGTACAATTTGTGGATGATGTTAGAGTGCCATCTCCTTTTTATATTTGTATTGACTTCAACGTCTAAGGAGTGTTGGAAGTTGCTGAAGGAAAGGTTAAATTCCGACTTGCCACGCATGCCACCAAGAGAAGCAGTCTTCTGGGAACGGCAATTGCACACACAAATAATTCTTCCACTCTAGGATTTAAGGAATAGAAGACTGAACTACTTGGCTTGCCTTGGGAAAACAATGCCTGCACATCTGTTTGTGCAATCGAAGCTGGGCCATTTTAAATTTGTTAAGAATTTCCAGTCTTTGGGCCTCAAATACATTAAAAGGCATACTTTGTGTTGAATATTTAAAATGAGAGAGATTGTTTACAAAAAAGGGTTTTAAATTTCATTCATGCTAAGAGAAGGAAAGTAGGAAGCTTAATAGTAGTTGGTAATACACTGATGGGCTTCTTCCAGGAACGATAGAGTGAATTTTCTGGAGCTATACTTCCAATTGGGTTATGTTTCAGTTGTGTTGGGGGTCTTTTAATAATATCTCAAAGGATCTTTAATATGTATATCTTTAATATATATATATTATATATTAAAGAAAACTATCTGAAAGACTTTGAAATGCTTTTCAAAGGGAATATGAGTTAAGAGATGGAAAGAACTCTTTACTAGGAAACATGGGCAAAAGACATTGACGCTGGGCTAGAGCATGTATTATGGGATTTTTATGTTTTTATGTAAGCATGAAACAGTACAGTATGAGAGAGAAAGTAACCCATGAAAACTGTCTGTTACACTTATACTGTAGTACCATTTTGTATGTTGTGTAAACAAAAACATTGAACAAAGCAAGGTGATGTATGTATATGAGAAAATTAATTGTATGATATCATTCCAGTACATTTTGTTGTACATTTTAGTCATATTGATTTCTCCCATTGTTTATACAGGATGCAGTTTGTACAGTCTCCAGCTAGTACACACATTAGAGGAAAGCAGAATTAGAAGGAAAAAAAATCAGGAGCAGAATATTTGTGAATTGCAGTTGTGTCAAAGATAGCCTAGCTGGCCTTATTTGTGAAGCATAATTGCTTTTAGCATATGGAAGTATTTTTTCACATTTTCTTTGTATAAAATTTGTATTAAACTAAATATCTTTTTTGATTATTGTGTTTCTTTGTGGCTAAAACCGGTGACACACAATATACTTTTGGATTTTCTTACCTTTCAGAGCCCTTCATTTTTTTTCTTTCTTTTTTATTAGAATGATGCAGGGGAAAAAAGGATTCATAATGGATTTCCATTTTTCTTCTGAAAACCAGCTTTTCCCTTTTCAAAACCTCCTCATTCTGTTCCAGCTATATTCCAATGGAATAACTGTTTTGCTACTTAACATGCTCACCTATGGCTTATATTCTTATTTTCATTTTGTCTGCCTTGCAACCATTCCATGCTATGTGAACAAATATGCATACATTGAATTTTAAAAAATTACTTTGCAAAAACATATATTTTCATATGCCTCCTGGATAAGTTAGCAGAGATATAAGACAAAGTGTTGTTCTTCCTATTTATTTCAGCTATTGTATTGGTTTTTCAGACAGAAAGAGTATCATCTGATGCCTAAATATGATTAAATAAAAGCTGCAAATTTTGTAGGGTTCCACAACTGGGGTGTCATATATTTTGGTTTTGTTTCTACCAAACCACAACAAGCCTGGCCCAACACCCTGCCACACAATGACCTCAATAAATGACAAAACTTGCTTATTGTGATACAGTGAAAGTGCTTCCTTAAGAGAGTAGGGATCATTAAAGGGTCAACAACTAGAGAAAAATACAGTTTTGGATGATAGGAAGCCTGGTGTTTAGGGTGAGATAGAACCTTAACTATAACAGCATTGACTTCCATTAAGGAGTTAGTTGGGGAATGTATTGAGTTGAAAGTGAATGAAAGTGCTTATCTGATGATTTGGAATTTGTTGGTCATGGTTTGATCTTGTAAGTGCAGAATGCTAGGCATGAAAGTGAACTAGGCCAATGAGTATCCAAGAATGACAAAAATGCCCTGCATGCTTCAGAAGCTATTGATAAGCTCTCAGTTCCATCATGTGCACCATTTTCTTCCCAGTGAAGCTACTGCTTATCCCATGATGAGTTCCCAGAGAGCAGCAGCTCCTATTTGCTTCATATCATTATTGTAGAATAAGCCTGGGTTTTATCTGGAGAATCTGAAATACATTGCCCAACTTACTTATGTGATGATACGTGTATCTCCATTTAAGGACACTAGTGCAATGTTTATCTTTGCTGCTATTTACACTTTGTTTTTAACCAATGGGATATATATTACTCTAATGAAGTGGGGGAACAGCAAGATTCTAAAGTGTCCTTTCTGTAAACATGCAGAAAAAGTTCTAGGGTAAAAGGCAAGTGGCAGCAGAGATATTTCTGAGCTCCCACTTTGTTTTGGAAAAAAATGGACAAATGTTAATAAGCTTCCTAAGAGCCACAGTGATTAAGCCTCTGTGAATGTCTTGAGTAGAATGCAAGCACAAGAGCCCTCTCTCACTTGTGATGCCCAGCAAGGTATAGTGGTACCTTGGCTCACGAACGCCTCAGTTCACGACCAAATTGGGTTGCAAACAGAAATATAGGAAAAAATTTTCCTCAGGTTGCAAACTTGGCATCAGGTGACAATCGTGGACACACTCGAGGAGGTGGGGGGATACAGGCATGATCATGGTTGTGCTGGAGGGGGGGAGATGGCTGCGATTGCGCCCATCTTCCCTACATGAGAGCACCCACGATTGCGCCCATCTTCCCTGTGATTAAAAAAAATACAGAACAGATTAACCTTATTTACATTGAACCTTATGGGGAAATTTTATTTGGCTCACAAGCAATTAGGGTCATGACCAGAGTTGTGGAATGGATTAAGTTTGTGAGCCAAGGTACCACTATACTGGGACACATACCATCGCCGTACAGAATGTAATTCATAGCTGACTGGTAGGCATTGATGGCTGTATCCCCCATGAATTTGTTTCATCCCCAGGTTGGTAGTCATTAACTGGAAAAACTTTACGTTCTGTACTTCAGCTATATGCTGTGTGAAGAAACACTTATTTTAATCTGTCCAAATCATCCACCATTCAACTTCATTGGAAGACCCCTTTGGGTTCCAGTGTTCAGTGTAAGGGAAAAAAACTCGTTCCTGTCCCCATTCTGTGTGCATTCCTCTGTCCTTTCCACTTTTGTCTTGCTTTTTAAGCTATGAAAAGGATACCATGAACCATGAGTTTCCGTCTAACCTAGCACCACCAGACAAGATCTCCAGGGCAGGGCTTAGCACTCAGTACCGCTGATACACAGATTTAATAAAGATCCTGAAGAGCTAGCAGAGAAGGGCTGGTTATGGTGGGGGAAGAGGTTTCAAGAGGATGGTTCAGAAAAAAGGGACAGGCTATGAAGAAAGGGTCTGACTGAATGGTGAAAAGAGCTTAAGAGTCACCTGGCTCGCACTTCTCGGTGTGCAGGCCCAGAGGACCCCCTCCCCCTGCAATAGTGCATTCTTTCATACCTGAAAATCGCCAAGGATGTTCTTCAACTGGTTGGCTTTCATGCCTATAAATGAGCCACTTTCCTGCTCTCTTACTCACTGGAGAGTCAGTAAAGAGCAGCTCTATAGTCCCTGAGTGAGCATCATAGGGACCATCAAGTAGCAGGGAAAGTAACCTGAAGGTTTCCTTGGTTTTCCCCACTGTACATGTTGCTGGGGTTCCTCTGATTTTGGGTTGTCTTCTTTCAAACGTTTATCAAGTGAACTTGTTACCGGTTTTTTTCCATTTCTGCTTTAGTTGTATTGCATTGTTTAGCAATTTGCATGGTGCTCCTACTGTGCTTTCTATTCGCTCGCTCTCGCTCTCGCTCTCGCTCTCGCTCTCGCGCGCGCGCGCGCGCGCGCGCACACACACACACACACACACACACACACACACACACACGGAGGGAGGGAGGGAGGGAGGGAGGTTGAAAAGCCATTCCTTTGGAACTAGGTCAGTGACAATTGACAATTGCCTATTTGCATTACTGTGATGAGGACAGGCAGAAAAGCTAAGTCACCGGAAAGAGCCTATTTCCAATAAGGTAGCTATGTTAATCTGTTATAACAGAAAAAAAAAACAGTTATATGATGCCTTAAAAACAAATGAATTTATGATGACAACAAGCTTTTGTGAATTGAAGTAAATATGGATGCAAGAAGTATGACCTTGAAGTAAATTGTAGATTCAATAGTAGGTTGAATCGTGTTCTCCTTTGTCACAGAAAGGAGTTCAAAGGTTATGCGGTAGTACAATGAGTTAAGAAGCTTCATTACAATTTACTAGTTCCTGCAAAAGTGGAAAATAGCTTTTCTCGTGATGTCAGTGAGGTTTGCTGCCATCCTGTGTCTGTATCTGGTATAACAGAATTACCATGGAGTTGCAAAATGGTGTGTAGATACACCATAATATACTGATTATTTGCAAGGTAAATATGCAGTTGTGGTAGGAGAGATTCTGTCTGTTTTTTCTTGGTGAGGAATCAAACCAAATATCAGTGGAATTAGGGGGTTTTACGCTCCCACCCCAAATAGCAGGACAACTGGGATATTGATTATGTAGCTGTTTAACATGGTGGAAAATGCTTGTGAGTCAAAACTCCCCATGTCTGTGCCATTAAAAAATAGAAGTGTTCCTATTTGACAACTTTCTCTCTCGCTCACACACACACACTGTCAGCCAATGCTTCCAAGCATCATCACCTGTTCGTGTAAGCATTCACATCATTTTGCCTTCATGGGAATAAATAGAATAAAACTACGTTTGGAAAATACATACAAAATTGCAGCAAGTCAACTGAAGGGGAACTAGGCAATATTCAAAATACCTGTCTGCTGCTGAAAATGGCAGTTCCCTGCTGTGTCCCCCTCCCCCACTCTGTCATTCAACTTAGCTCATGTTGCTGTTTTCCTGTCAGTGGCAGCCAAGAATATACAGTGAGAGTTGAGAAATGTGCAGCATGCTAAAATGTCACAAGGGGCCCAGGGCTGCAGCATCCATTCTAGCTCAGGGAGGTAACTGCCAGAATAAGGCAACCTGAAAAGGCGATGACCTGGTTCAGACAGCATGCCAGTCACTCGTGGGCTAAACAACCCATGAGGTGCCCTGGCATCTGCCAGCCACCATCACAACCATGCAGTCCTCCAACCAGAAGTCACGGTGGCTTGTATCGGGAGGACCTGGCCAGGGATAGTTATTTAAGGGTTAAACAACTCTTGCACGGCCCTACAATGGACCACGTGTTATGCAAGTGTTATTTCATATGGCATGAGAAGCCATGGCAAACTCTGGTTGGGGGCTGCTTATTCATAATGGTACAGGGGCAAAGTAACCCAAAATGGCCTCTCTTGTCATCAGAATTGATGCAAAGAGCTACCACAGCCATTTCCTTTGCATATGTATGTTTTTAAATGTTCCAGTGAGTGTTCTGTGTTTGACATCGCTGCATTAGGGTCTGTTTGAATTGGTCCATTACATGTTTTCATGGCAGCAGACTTAGGATTGTTACCAGATAAACATAGGAAAGCAGACTGCCTGCAACCATTACTACATACACGATACATATGTTTTCAAACACATCCGCCAGAATCCCACATACATGTTTAACTGTTCCTTCAAAATTTTAGGTACCACAAACTGAAGTGCTGACTTAGAAGGTTAAGAAATATCTTAACATGATCTTGCACTCTGTGGTGGTTTAAATGCTTTGGCATTTTATAAACAAATGTAAGTCCCACATCCTCCTGTTTCCCTTGTCCCATTGCATCCTGAAGAAATACATTAGCCCTAAAGGTGGTATAGTTTCATTCCTTCTCAGTCTGGGAAATTGGAAAGTTTGTTTACAATGCCTAAAAGGCATTGAATCATCTCAATGTTTCAATATTTCTGTCTGGGTTACCTGTGCTGCTGTCCGTTCAGTTTTCATCGGGAGGCAACACTGAGAATGGGAGTACTTGTGAATGTGTCTTAAAGCAATCATGGAGAGGACTAACAAGGACTAGTTGTACCCCATTAGAGAAGAATGGGAAACCACTTGGCAAACCTTCCCTTAGAAGCTGC